TGCCTGATTATACCATTGTACCAAGCTTCATAAACTGATGATCATTAATCTATCCTTGTAACTAAGGATCTCATCCTGCTAGCTAGTCAGCAAAACTGCCAGGCTGTTCTGTCTCACCTTCTTACCTCCTTTATACCTCCTGCTTGTGCATCATACAAAAGCCCTGGACCACCAGAGATCAGAGCCTGATATTCTAGAAATGGTCCCAATCATAAAACCTAGAAACCATAAAACCTAGAAAGGTCACTCTGACCTTGCACCCTCTCCTTGACAACCCCACCTTCCATGGCTGGTGAGTCTGCCAGGGCCACCAAAACCAAATACCACAGCCTGAGTAGCTTATACAACAGAAATGTTGTGGGTTTTGTTGTTGTTTTTTTACAGTTTTGAAGTCCAAAATCAAGGAGTCAGCAGACCTGGTTCCTTCTGAGGACTTGGAGGGAAAGATCTGTCCCAGACCTCTCTCCTTGTCCCGGGGGGCTGTCTGCTTGTTCACATGGCATTTTCCCTGTGAATGTGAGCATCTTGATTACCTTTGTAAAGACTGTTTTCTCAAACAAGACCACATTCTGTGGTATTGAGGGTTAGGACTTCAACACATGATTGGGGGTACAAGTCAGACCATGACACTGGTCTTACCATCTCATGAGGGAGAGAGATGAGCAGCAAATCCACCTACAGTACCTCAGAGGTGAGGAGTGCTATGGAGCTACCAGAAGAAAGCAGGGCAGGAGGGAGAGAGGACGGGACATGTAGGCTGGACATGGACATCAGGCAAGGAGACCTGGCTAAAGACAGATGAGGGTGGCAGCTGTAGAGGCACCTAGGGTCAAGCAGTCTATCTGACTTTATGGTGTAGAATCTTGTGAGCCGTGCAGATGCAAAGATTTCAGACAATGGCAAAACCTCAGGCGGGAGCTGGGCGTGTTAACACATAACCATAATCTCTATCCAGGATGCTAAGGCAGGAGGATCCCAAGCTCAAGGCCAACCTGGACAACATAGCAAGACCTTGTCTCAAACAAACAAAAAGATCTCAGTTGGAGGGCCTGAGGGGAAGGGAGAAGAGGAAGAGTGTGTGTGTGTGTGTGTGTGTGTGTGTGCGCGTGCGCGCGCGCGCGCGTGCTTGCACATGCATGCACATGTGTGTTGAAGGTCAGCCTCAGAGTGGGGTCTGGTGGAGGTGTGAGAAGGAAGGCGAGGGGCTTGGTGAGGAACACAAGAAATCTGAGGAGCTCCCAGCCCTCCTGTGTAGTCCCCCAAATCCTGTAGCCTTGTCTTTCTGTCGGCCCTCCTTCTCCCCCAGTGACTCCTCTTGTGAAGTGTGTGGGACTCTGCCCCTATCCCAACTGCCACCAGGATAAATGGGTGCTATGTTCTCCCTGGCTCCTCCTCCACATCCCCCCTTGCAGGGCCACATGTCTTCGAGGCTTAGGATCAAGGCCATCTCTGTCCGGCTCAGCAAAGCTCTGCCCCCACATCTAGAGCAATATTTGAAATTCTTTGGGAACTGTGTTGTGTCTTATCAAATCTTTGGACACAGCCCTGACTTTTGAAAACCCTCCAGGGACACTCAGTGCTCAGGGGGTGGAATCTGAACACCTCACAGTGGTCTCTGAGCTTCTACATTAGCTTCTACATTACTTCTTAAAAATCTTTATCTTGAAATAATTTTAGATTTCCAAAAGGATTGCAAAGACTGTATGAAGAATTCAGGTATTCCTTTTGCCTCACTCCCCTTTGGTGAGCATCTTACAGAAATGTGGTATATTTATCAAAGTGAAGAAATTAACACTGGCACCATATGTATTACTTTTATTCTCAATAAAAGTGATTATGGATTTTCCCATTTTTTATTGTGGAACAGGCACAAATACAAAAACGTATATGTACAGTTAAAGGGTTGATGATAAATACCCCTACACACACCTATGAGCCCTTCCTGAAGCCCTTCCTATAATCCCAGTGATTATAGCAGGGATCCTAATTCACGGAAGTTACTTGTGACAAATGCCACGGAAGGAACAGTGTGTTATTGCAGTCCCCAGGGAAAGGGATGTGCTGTGCCACACGGGGCCCATGAGGAAGCACCAGGTCTGATTGGGAGGCAGAAGTGGGAGAGAGGGTGCACGCCTCTACCGGAGTTTCCAGGGGAAAGGCAAGCTGGACAGACACCTTAGGAATGGCTGGTTTAAATAATTCCATGCTCGGGGCTACAGGAGGGGGCTCTGTTTCCTGTGCCTGGCTCTGGCATGATAGAGGGCAGGGGAGTACTGAGTTGGTATCTGAGAGCAAGATAGAGGAGGTGCTTGGGGTTAGGGACTTGGGGTTGGTTGACCTGCAAATGAAAGGCATGCTCCCAGCTAAGCCCTTTGCTATCTCTCCAGCTAGCAAGATTTATAAGCTGTCAAAACATCACAAGATACGGGAAATAAAAATCATGACCCATACGCTCCCTCATGCCCCAACCCCTCACCCAAGGTAACCCATTCCTTTTCTTTTCTCTACAGTCTGATGGTATGTATATAGAACAAAATATTCCATCACCCTGTCTGTTTGCAGACTTTATATCAGTGGAGTTTACTGAATATGTCCCTCTCTGATTTGCCTGTCTGCTCAAGACTCTGCTTTTGAGATTCATCCATGTTGGCCCAGGCAGTAGGTCCCTTCATTTCCAATGCTATGTACTGTTTCCCTGTCTGCACGTATGTTTTCTGTTGCTGATGGATAGTTCCATTCTCCATGTGAGCAGTGCTTCCCTGAGTACTTCTCTATGGTTGCTATGCAGCTTCAAAGGTTGCTTTGGGGAGTCTGGGGTGTGTGTATAGCCATGGCTTCCCTGACAGTATAGAAGCCTGTTTCCCAAGGCTCATATGCCCACCAGAGCCTTCCAAACCCTCATCATATCTGGTGCCAACTTCTAAATTGTTGCATATTTGTGGGTAATGGATACATAATGATATCTCAGCAGTCTTCATCTGTACTGTGACTGATGATGAACCTGAGCATCTTTTCTCGTGTTTATGGATCATTTCCACTTTCTCTGTTAGATGCTGCTAGTGGCTTAGTTATATGTGTTGCAAATATCTAATTGGAGATTGTGACTTGTCTTTTCATTCCCTTCATAGGGTCTTTTGATGAATGGATGTTCTCAGTTTTATTGTAGTCAATCTTTTCAACTATTTCCTTTATGTTTTAAACTTCTCATACCTCATTTAAGAAAAGTTTCATTATAAAGGATCATTCCTCTATTTTATTTTAAAGTAGTAAAGTTTTACCACCTACATTTAAATCCGTAATCCATCCAGAATGGATTTTTGATGTGTAATATGAGGTAGGAAGTCATTTTCATTTTCTCCCATATGAGTAGCTAATTATTCTGGCATTGTTGATTAGAGAAAACATGCTTTCGTCCTGGATTTGAAATGCAAGATGTGTGGTATATTAGCTTTTCATATATGCACGAGAATAAATTAAGGAAAAAGTCAAACTAAGTACAGCAGCATGCAAGTTACCATCTAGGAACTGATCTTGAAGAAATAACTGTAAATGAGAGAAAAAGTTCAGTTCAAGCATGTTCCTTATCAGAGCCAAAAATTAGAAAACGACCTAATTAAATATCCAACAAGAAGGAATTGCTTAAATAAATTTTTGAGAAAAATGATCTCGCTACTTCCTATGATCATAGATCTTCCTCAAAGGAGACGAGGGTCAAGAGACAGAGGAGAAGGGGCGATGAGAGGGGAAGCTGAGAGGGGGAATGAAGGTGTGTTATGTACATGCACCAAGTCCATGTGAGGAATGAGGGCAGCATGCACTGCAAGCACGTACAGAAACAAGAAGAAGAAGGGGATCGAGAGATGGATGAAGTGGGGAAGGAGGGAAGGGAAAAGGGATGAAAACTAAGATGAATTATGTACATGTACCGACTTCCCACAAGCATTGTAAACATGTGCTGCAAACATATGTTCGGAAAGAAACGATTTGTGAAAATAAATTTTTGCATACAAAAAAGCATTGTCCAGTCATCTAAAAAGAAATGGTAGATTTTAATGTGCTAACATGGAAAGAATATAGAAAAAAGCAGACTGTAGAACCACACATATACTATAATCTTATTTATATAATCCAGAGATATGATGTAAATGTATAGAAAGAAAGGATATAAACTATTAGCCATTTGTCTGTATTATTTGGATTTTTATAATGATATCAGCAACCATAAATAAAATGCAATTTGCTTGTTCTGTGTTTTTTAAAAAATGATATCATCTACGCTTGGGATTACACTGTAGGATCCAATAATCTCATTTCTTGGTATTTCCTCAAAAGCAAGAAAAATTTATGTTCACACAAAGGCTGGTATGGGAATGTTCATAGCAGCTCTATTCACAATCTCCCAGAACTAGTAAATGAATAAACAGGATTTGGTACATCCACGCAATGGAACATTATTCAGCAATAAAAAGAAATGGTCTTGATAAATACAGCACCACAGATAAATCTCAATGCATTCTGCTAAGTGAAAGAAGCCAGATCCAAAATCTTCATACCCTATGATCCACTTGTATATGACATTCTGCAAAAGACAAATGTACACAAAAATAAAACATGGACAAAGTCTGGGGCAGTATGAGAACTTGACTATAATAGGGCATAAGGAGACTTTTTGGCGGGAGGGAACTGTTCTGTATCTTGGTTCTAGAGATGATCACACAACTATGAGTTTGTTGGAATTCATAAATGTATACCTAGAAAGGGTGAATTTTACTATATGTCAATTATACCTCAAGCATGCAAAGTGTAAAAAAACTTTGCATGTGATAATTCTATGCATTCACATAAACGAACAATGTGAAAGGTCATGAAAAAGTGTCGCGGAGGAACATTTAATGACATGAAAAAGCAGTCACAATATTGATGTGAATAGCCACGTTGCACAAGTACGCCACACACTGGTAGAAAGAAAAACTGCTAGACAAAACACTCAAAGACTCTGGTGACAAGGGTTACGACTGATCTTTATTTTCTTTTGCTCCCTGTGTTCCCTGATTTTCCCACAATGATCACACATTGTCTTGGCTCTTTGCGGCCAGCCCAGGGTTGGCTCAGGGAGGCTGGAGGAAGTGGCCTCTTCGCAGCTGGAAAAACAGCAGCCTCCCGTTGACCTCTCCGCCCCGTCTTGTCGGCATTTATTTTCCCTTTCTGGGCAGATAAGGTGAGAGCCTGGAAGAGGAGATCAAAATCTGGTCTCAGAAGCCGCCTCCAGATGCCTCCCGGCACTGGGCCCTCGGGTGAGGCAGTGTAAGGCCAAGAGGCGCCCCCTGGTGCCCTCAGATGACTTCCAGTTAGTCACATTAACTGTGAGGCCGGGCCAGTTATTCAACCTCTGTGTCCGTGACCCCTCTCTCACATGGGGGATGAAGATGGTGCTCTCTCCTCAGGATGGCATGTGTTTGCGCATGTGCGCACACCCTGTGTGAGCATGCATACCTGTGCAAACCACTTAGAACCGGGACGGGCATCGTCGCCACACTCAGGTCATGTTTGGGAGGACTGTGAAATCCAGCTGACAGGGTGGGGGCCATAGCTCAGTGGGAGCACGCATGCCTAGCATGCATGTAGCCCTGAGCTCCAGCCCCAGCACTGAAAAAAAGATCCAACCAATGAATGTACGAGCCTTCTGGCCTTATTTTCAGGACACATGGTGATCCCAGAAACGCAGTTCTGACACCCTCTAAATAATTTTAAAATGATTTAAGTACTTCATTTGCATTTTGTATATCCTGAAGAGTATATGTTCGATTTTCAGAAATACATCCTAATGTTTCCCTCTGTTCACTTCTCTCACTAGAACCAGTGCCATCTCCTTGAGCGATTCCCTTCTCCAGCCCTTCTGCATAATCATCTGGCCTCTAATTTGTGATCCTCCTGCTTCAGCCTCCTGAGTAGCTGGGGTCACAGACGTGTGCCACTAAGCACAGTTTACCTGATGCCTACTATTTGATGCCAGATTCCATTTCAGGCCCTTAGAATAGATCAGTGAACAAAATAGATGACAAACCCCACAGTCAGGCGGAGATTACAGAGCCCCACCTCAGAGCTGGGCCCAGACATCTGGTCTTCTTCTCCCTTCCCTCTCTTCCTTATTCTGCTACCTGGAACCCAAGAAAACCCCACAGCCCCTTCTTCAGGGCAGAGGATGTGGTGGAGTGGGCAAAGCCAAGCTGTTGCCAGTGGGCAGGCTCAGGCACGGGTGACTGACTACCCTCAGTCAGCCACACCTGGGGTTCATGACAAGAGGAGAGCACCGGCCCTGCTGGAGCACAGGAGGTGCTCCGTCACGACGGCCAGGTTTTCCAGCGCTCCTCTTGGTCCCAGGTAGGTTGGCCTGCTGATCAGCTTCCCAGCTCCCGCCTGCCCCTAGGAATTTGGACAGGCTGCTCTGACTGGCTGGATTCTGGGACCTTGGCTGCCTTTGCTTCGAAGAAGGCGGAAGTCTTAGTGGCTGAAAGGCCGCAGGCCTAGGTGCACCTTCTCTATTCTCACCCTCACTCCCTCCCTCTTTTATTGCTCCCTCTCTCTTCCTCCACCCAGGACAGCCATGGCAGTGGGACTTTCTGTCCCACCTGGGTGGAGGAAGGTGAGCGCACTTTGTTCCTCTGGTTCAGGAGGAGGGACTGGCAGGGCAGGTGTGGAATATTTGCTGAGGCCCCATAGCTGAACTCTATCAGATGTCATCCAATGGGCTCTAAGCTCCTCATTTCAAATGTCTACTGGCTGGAAAAAAATACAGATTTATAAAACTTGCAGTGGCTTTTTCTCAATCGGTGCACCCTGGGAGGAGCTTCATACTTTAAAAACTTGGGGGTTGCCAGCCTCCAAGAACAAGACCAAAACCTGAGCAGGTGGGTCAGTCTTCACCTCCTTCCCCTTTGCAAACAACCCCACGCTATAGTCACTGGGGACTTTCTGTCCTCGGTGCCCTAGTTTTAGGGTCCCCTCCACCCAGTCTGTCGGTCCCTCATCCTGGTCCCAGGTCACGCAAGTCAGGGGCCAGCTCAGAGGAGCAGTCCCTGCTGTCTGGGTGGGTCCCACCTGGGTGGTGGCACCGGCCTTCTCAGAGCCGCCAGCTTTTGGTGCTCCCTACCCCCCATCCATCCTGCTCACAGTAGTCAGAAGGAATGTTCCAGAAAGGCACATCTGGTCACACTCTTGCTCTGGGCCCTGTCTTGCAAGAAAAACATGGCCCCACAGGGAAGACTTGGGGTTTTTCCATTAAGCATCTGTTTGGCTTGGATGGTGACACCTCCCACTCCCACCCCCACCCCTGTCTGGGTTTCTGGAAATCAGGACAGTGAGGCAAGAGCCTGAGCAAGCGAGGAGAGGAAGAGGAGAGAGCCCGCCGGGCCTGGCCTCCTTCCCCTCCTGCTGCCTCCCTCTTGAGGGCCTGCACTCTTTTTGTTTGAGTCTGTGCCTTTTCATTTCTGCCTAGTGAGTCCCTTCCGTGCCTTTTACTGCCTAGCCCTGAAAATTCTTTTTCCATGACAGGAGTCAGCGAAGCTGCAAACATTCCGCAGGTAGGGTGGGCTGGGCTCCTTATTTCAGCTACAGGAAATTCCTCAGACCCTGTCCAGGGACAACCCCACCTTGCAGGTGAGGAGGCAGAAGGTGGCCAAACTAGTGGCCCTTTGTGAGGTGTGGGAATGGGGTGCAGCAGGGCCAAATTTAGCAGCGCCCTCATTATACCCCCCACAAAAAGTAATATTGTCCCTGTGGCTGAGGTCTGATGCCCCAAAGGCCATACATTGTGCATGGGACCGACAAAGATGCTGTGGACAAGAGGCTTTCTGGAAGGCCTGGTACCGGGGTCCAGGCCAGGGCAGCTGCACATTCAAAGGCATGGAAGCTGCAGGTTACTCCTTGGACTTCGTGCTTCCCCGGGTTGGCATCAGCTGGGAGGCTTCTTTGATCATGGTCCAATCTGATCCTGTCCATCAGAGCAGTGCCCACTTTGGGTCTCAATCTGAAGTCCCTTATCTGTTCTTCCTGAATTTCTAGCTATGCCCGTCACTGATGATGCTTGTCTGCAACAATAAGTCAAGAACCTGCCCAGGCTGAGTTGAGGTCCCCATCTCCCTCTGAGGGACCTCCTCAGACGCTGTCCAGTGACAGGACAGTATGGCTGTGTGACCTGGGGCACTGAGAACACGGTGTCACTTCTGTGCTGCCCTGCTGAAAGTGCGTGGCCTGAATTGAATCCCAGGGAAACATCAAACAAGCCCAAATTGATTGGGTTGCCAGACACTCTGCAAAGTAGCCGACTCGATCTTCAAAAATGTCAAGGTCAAAAGAATTCAAGGTCATGAAAGACAAGGAAACCCTCTGAAACCATTCTGACTTAAAAGAAGCTAAAGAGATAAGACAGGCAATCACAACGGCAGGTCTTAGATAGATCCTGGGTCCCCGCAGTATGCTTCTGGTACTATGGATGAGCTCAGAGGGGGTATGAGGATTACTTGGCAGTATTGTAGTAATGTTTGTGCTGTGGTTATGCAGAAATGTGCCCTTATTTTCAGGAAATGCACAATGAATGTGGTGTCTGCTCAAATAATTCTGAACCAGGTGTGGTGGTACATGCCTGTAATCCCAGCCTCAGGAGGCTGAGGCAGGAGGACTACTATGACTTTGAGGCCAGCCTGGGCTACGTAGTGAATTCAGGGCTACCCTGAACTACATAGTGTGACTTTATCTCTCAAAAACAAAAACAGAAAAATTCTGAAAAATAAATGTGTACATCTACACACATATTTGTATATGCATATATGTAATGATAAGACAAATATAGTAAAATAGTAACTAATAATCTGAGTAAAATCTATATAAGAATTCTTGTACTATTTTTGGAAATATTCTGTAAGTTGGTTGTTATTTGGAAATTTAAATATTAAATTTAAATTTAAGCATATTAACAATCACAATAATAATAAAAATGGCCACCTTCACTGAGTACTATGGGCTATACCGTATTAGCTCATTTAATCTAACACTAACCACACAAAGTAGATATTATTATTCCTGTTTTGTGAAAGAAGAACCAGTCTCAGGGTAGTCAGTGGCTCTCCCAAGATCATACAGCTTGTAACTAACAAACACAGAAGTGGTATTTGAACCCAGACCAAGCTGGCTTAAGAAACTCTCTCTCAACCCTTTGGGAGATGGAGAAATAGTTAAGAAAACAGGTAATAGTTGCATAGGGTGACAATTATGGACACAGGTTCTGAAAGAAGCCAAGACTAGTAGGAAGGCTTTACAGAGGAGGTGACCTCTGAGCCAGGCCTTGAAGCATGTATAGGAGTTCCTCACTCAGGGAAAGAAGTTCTCCAGATGGAAGAAATGGCATGGTCAAGACCTTGGAAATTTGGAAGGATACAGCCTAGAGTTTTTCCAGGCCTCACCAACCTATAGATAAGAACACTAGGCTTTTGGAATTGGCTGTAAAATGCCCCTCATGTTTCTCTGGAAGTGCTGGCATTCCATTCCTCCATCAATTTGCTCAACAGAAAGTGCCCCCACCCTCATTTTGAAGGCCTCAGCCTTTTCTTGGCAGTGTCATCTTGGCTGAGTTAGTTGTTTCTCTGAGCCTCAAATTTCCTGTCTGTGAAGTGGAGCCCATTCGATAGCTACTTTCAGGGTCCGGTGAGGACTAAAGGGGAACGAATGTCGACCCAGAGCTTGGCTTGGTTTCTGGTGTAGATTCAAAGATGGTGGCTATTCTTAGGCACTAGGGACCTGGAGCCCTGAGAAGAGCAGAGACAGGCCAAGTGCTCATAACCCAGGAAAGTGAGGCAAGGCGCAGCCCCAGGCCCTGCCCCTCACTGACCTGCCCCTGATCCCAGCCTGCCAAAACCCCCAGCATTCAGCCCTGCGCTCCACCACCAAGGACAGAGCCAAGCAGGGCGGCCCTCTCCACCCCAGGGGTTCATTTGGGGAAGGATCTTCAGTTTGGGGAGCTCTGCTGAGCACACCCCTATTTCCTAATGTGGTTGAATGTGATAACTCCTGGTGGCAGGGACCCTGGGACATTTGGCAACTAACTGCCTGTTTCTTTCTTCCTGCTTTCCCCAAGGCGGGAGGAGGTCAGGCCTGCTGGGAGAGCCCACACTGTGACACAGTCACATGCTGCAGTTTCCTGAGAAATAACAAGTGAGAGCCAACACACACACACACACACACACACACACACACACACACACGGTCTTCCCAATTGCTTTGCTTCCCTCTGCCTCCAGTCCCCTCCCCAGCACCAGCTTCCATGGAGGGCCCTTATCTGCTATCTCAGCAGTCACCTCCTCCCATCAGCACATAGCTGGCTGCCCTCCACAACGTTCTGGAGGCCTAGGAGAGTGATCTGGCCTGGTCTGCGGGTGTCCGTGGCCTGGAGCTCATGCTCTGGGCTCTGACTCCTCTTTCATCTCTTCGAGTTATGGAATATGTCCTTTATACCACTCCATATCTCAGTGTGATCATGCTGCTGATGAGAACTCTCCACCCCTACCTTCTCCTTTGGGAGGCTGGTATCTTCCAGAACCAGGTAATCCAAAGGGGCTGGAATATGGACAGGAGAGTCTTTCTTAATATAGCAAGGTAGGGGAGTCTTCTCTTGAGAGTGTAACCCCAGAGTCCAAGGTGTCTGGTCATCTTTTAGGAACTGAACTGTGAAGCCAGATGGCTACAGGGGCCTAGTCCTTTCTTCCCTTTGCCTTCAGAATCACCACCAGCCCCTCCCACACTTGCACCCCCAAGCCAAGACCAGAATGCCATGTGAGGCATGGTGTGTGAGAGCTGGTGTCTCAGGTGGTAAAGAGTTTACCAATAGTTGAGAAATACAGAAAAGTGAAGTTTATTGATACACTGCAAATGAGTAGTGGACAAGTCCAAGAGACGATGGTGCCATCATGGTGAAAGGCTCAGATTTTTTTATTTTAACATGGTAGGGGGCCTAGAAATGTCAGGCCCTTGGGTCACAGTGGTTCCATTGTCCCATCCATCTCAGTTTTGAGGATAGACAGGTGGTGTTTGAAGACTTAGTAATGTTTGTTTTGTTCAGGTCCAGTACCTTTGGTGTTACCAGAAACAATCCTTCTGGATAGAATTAATTAAAAAATATGTAAAGATTGACTATTGTTAGTGGTCAAAGGGATCAGAATGAAATATAAATGTTTGTGCTTGAAAAGGACTTTTGATGTGATACTTAAATAGTGAAAGAAATGGCATTTTTAAAGACATGACAGGCAGTTAGATCAGCTAGTGATGCATGCGTAGTTCTTGTGTGCAACTTAGAGGGTAGAAAGTTAATGATCTACTACAGACTAATCATTCAGTGACAATGTGGCCTTTAAAAAAACAATGGTAAATTTAAAAAATAATTATAATAAATAGTAAAACTGCTGTGATTTCCCCACACAGGAGGATGACAACATACCCTGGAAGCCAAATACCCAGAGGAGCTGCATGGGAAAAGGAGGAAACTGAGGCAAAGAGGAGATGAAGACCTCGACTCACCCCACTCCCAGGGTAAGTTGTAGGTTTGTTGACTTACATCACAGAAAAATATTGCAGGACACCTGTTGTGAGAGAGATTTGAACGATTTATTAGGCAGAAACAAAGAAGTACTGTTGCGGCAATGGTGCTTATTTAATTGAGCCACCTGCGGAGGCCAGATGCAGAGACAACCAAGTTTACTGGGGGCTGGTGGTGGGCACCCAGTACGTGACTGGGCACCGACTCCAAAGGGCAGGAGCGGAGAACAGTTATACAGTTCTAGTTCCAGGTCTATGGGGGGAGGTGCTGATATGATTTAGTGCAGCTATAGAAAGACTACAAAGCATGGGCTTAGCTTGTGACAAAAGAACAAAGATGTATGACATTTTACTCAGGGGACAAGCAGTCTTATGACAGAGCATGGGGTGGTATCAGGTTAGGTAACTATGACAACATTTACAAGAAATGAACTTAAGGAAACAGAAACTTAAGTTTTAAAATAGCACTAGAACACAAAATGGCATCGGTTTAGTTTTCTTTCCTATATCACTTCCCCCCTCAAGGACACTCTCTTCTTATTAAGCTGGTGAGGTGTCCTTAAATTTATCTACAGAGGTTGATACCCAGGACTTCCTGCCAACACCAGAAGTTGTACCTGGTCCAGTCTAGCTCGGATTCTCCTTATCACTCTTTTGACTAGGCAGGGCCCAATCACAAGTAAGGCTATGCAGATCATGAAGGGCCCCGCCAGACTTGTCAGTAAAGAAGTTAGCCAAGGATTCCAACTGTACATCTGGGCACACCACCCTTGGAAATTTTGGCGGTCTTTTGCTCTCCTGTTGAGGTGCTCACAGAAACTGGCTGAAGTCTCTCTGATGGTACTGGATTTGTTGGCATAAAAACAGCATTTTTAAGCAAGCTCCCAGCAGAGTTCTGGTGGTGGCAGTGGGTGAGGATCCAGCTTTGAATTGGGATGAAGTGTAGACAAACTGTCTTGAAGTCCAAGACCTGATTTTACAGGGGAGCAGATTGAGGCCTGGATCACTTTACAAATAGTAATAAACATTTTTGGGTCACCTCTTAACAAATAAAGTCTAACTCATCCATGGAGCCACAGCCGTTGGCCTGGTCTCCTGCACAAAAATAAATCCCAACCAGGTTTATCTCCTCTTTTAACTTTTTGTTAGGGCCCCACAGGCAGGAAAGGTTCTCAATCCTTCTATGTGTCATGAATCTCAAGGGGTGTCAACCCTCCCAGCCAAACAGTCTCATTTAGAATCTCTTCCCCAATATCTGAGTCATTGTGAACTTTTAAACCAGTTCCATGGTCCGACCTGACCACAGACCAGCGGAGAAACAGGAAGGGGATGACATGGATGGTCAGCTTAATGCTGGTGTTGTCTCTGTCTTGGAGAGGAGATGCTGTCTTGTTGCTTGGCTGGGTTGGCTCACCAGGTGATGTTAGTCTGGTTCTGGTCCATCATTTGACATGAGAGTGATGGATCCATGGAACAAGCCTTGAAACTTTAAAAGCAGTGGGCTGGTTAGTATGACTTCATAGGACCCCACCTAGGCTGGATGGGATCATCCTTCTAGTCCCTGACCAAAACTTGGTCCAGGCTGCAAAGGATGCAAGGGTGTGTGCAAAGGGGTTGTGCAATTTCCAGGATGGTCTGTCGTAGCTCCTCAAGGACCCCATGAAGTGCTTTCATCTAGTGGCAAAGGTAATTTGATCCAGCTTTTTGGAGTCCTTTTATCACAGGCATCTATAGGGGAGGCCATCCAATCATGATCTCAAAGGGCATGAGGCTATCTTGGTATGGTGTGCACTGGGGTCAGAGGAGGGCTATAGTCAATATAGTTGTCCAAGTTGCACCTCTCTCCTGGGAGAGCTTAGCCAAGGTGGACTTGAGGTTGCAGTTCTGTCTCTCTACCTTCCCAGAGCTCTGGGGCTGGTAAGCTGTGTGGAGTTTCCATTTTACCCCTAGAGCCAAGGCCAGTTCCTAGACTGCTTTACCTACAATGCCAGCCTATTATCTGACCCAGTGGTCACGAGGAGTCCATATCAGGGGACAATAAACTCCAAAAAGGCCTTAGTTACCTCTTTCAAAGTTTCAGTCCTAGTCAGGACAGCCTCCACCTGAGTAGGTGCAAGTCAGAACTAGCAGGTACACTTGGTTTCCAGTTTGTTATGGCTTGTGTCTGGATGTCTCCCCAGTGCCTCATGCAGTCATGAAGTAGGCTTCTAGATTTATGATTGATCCATAGTCCAATGCTGGGATTATGTGTGTGAGAACTACACCTGCCCCTGGGGCAGATAGTTTGCATATGTAAGGGAGAGAAAGAGGCTGCTTGCCACCACTCCTCCCTTTTGCTCTTGCTTCTTTTGCTACCTTCTGCCAGTTGCCCTCTGCCATGTGCCACCCTGCCTTGGAGCCAGCGAGTATGGACTGAAACCTCCACAGACTGTGAGCTAAATAAACTTTTCTTTCCTTAATTCTGGGTGTCAGGTATTTTGTCTCAGCAATGAGAGAAAAGCAACCAAGGCACAGTTGTTGGCTTGACCTCAGTGAAGTCAACCTCAACAGCCTCAAAGGGGGTGGTCCCATACCTCCTGATGCTAGGCTGGTGATGAGGCTGCTGAGGAGAGTTACTGTGGGCACAAGTTCACATCTCTTGGGCACAGAGGAGCACAACGCCCAAAGTCTGGAGATATAAAAATACCAGCAAAGCAATTCCACCATAGCAGTTTTTTCCAAATGAGTGCAGGTATGTAGGTCCTGTATCACAAAATGTCCCAAAGACTCAGGCAGGAACACAGTCTCTGCTGGCAGCACTTGTCACCCATTTTTATCAGTAGCTCCCTCTGACTTAGCCTACTTTAACTCAGTCTCTGAATAGAAAGGTCCTTTTAGATAGAGAGCTACAAGTACTTTTTCAGGGACAGGGGTCTCCAGATTGGCCACCTGTTCTGTTGCTAAGTCCACTGTGCAATTGCCTCAGGCATCTAAACAGGCCCCCTTCTGGTGGCCGGGACAATGTATAATGGCCACCCCTTTTTGGCAGCCAAACTGTTTGTAGCAATGCTAATATTTCTTGTGAATTTTTAATATCTTTTTTTTTTTTTTTTTTTTTGGTTTTTTGGTTTTTCTCCGGTACGGGGAACCGAACTCACGACCTTGCGCTTGCCAGGCAAGCGCTTTTTGCCGCTGAGCTAAATCCCCAGCCCCAATATCTTTTTTTTTTAACCTGTTATCAGGAGACCTTTTTTTCTATATAAGGCCCCATGCATGTGGGGGATGGCAAAAGCATAACAGAAGTCAGTATAGATATTGACCCATTTGTGTTTTTTTCAATTTCAAAGCCCAGGTGAAAGCTATCTGCTTGGCGTTTTGGGCTGATGTCCCAGGGGGATGTATTTTTGATTGAACAATTTGATATATTGTGACAACAGCAGCTCCCACCCTGCACACCCCATCTATTACCATACTGTTGGTCATCTGAAAACAGGCTCAAAACAGGGTTCTGGAGGGATGAATCTTGGAGGTCCAGTCATGTTGAGTAGACCATCTCAACTGATTCGACACAGTCATATTTGAGTCTCTCCACGGATGTAGGGAGCAGTGAGGCTGGGATGAGAGCCTGGATGGTTGTTGTGGTTACCTGGGATCCTCAAGAAGGGCCTCCTGGTATTGGGCCAGTCAGGCTCCTGATAGCCATTTGCCATCAGGACCTTTCCATAGGGTTTTAACTGCATGAGAGGCTTATACCTTCAAAGTCTATACCAAGTTCAGCTTATCAGCCTCTTTTACCAGGATGGCAGTGGCAGCTGTGGCCTGTAGGCAGGGAGGCCAACTTGCGGCCACTGTGCCTAGCTTCTTAGATAGGTATGCCACAGGACAACACCAAGGTCCCAGAGGTCCAAACTATGTCCTCCTTCTTGTGTCTGGGAGGGCCAAAGCTGGAGTACCTAACAACTCCCGTTTGAGAATGTATCAGGGAGACATTAGGCTTGACTGAGAGGCACCAAATCCTTGGACAAGGCTTTAAAACTCAACTGACTTACTAACAAATATTTTTACTTTAGTAGATAATATTTACAAGTTAAGGATTTTTTTCATAAACATAGTCTAGTTTTATTCATATTATTATTTTTTTCATCTATGAAAAACGCTATCAACCCTTTTTTTACCCTTGAAGCCTGATGCCAATTACTAAACATCTGGCTGAGGCTACCAATGATTTTTATGATGTAGAAAAGATGCTTAAATAATTTCAAAGAAAAATGTTTTTGATACGCTATATTTTATAGTATAGAACCTCAGTATAGGCAATTATCTCTGACTTGTGCCAAATTTTTAGGAACAATAAACACACATGCACACAGAGACACACTCTTTTTTTAGTTACACACATAAGACCAGAGTTATTTGCATGAGACTACAGAACCAAGAAAACTGGAGTGCTAAGTGTATCAGGCTCAGTGATATTACAGTTCTCAAGGTCCAATTTTTCTCTAGAGAGTGGGCTCAAGATGATTTCTTTAGCATTTTTAACTCTGAACTGAGGTGAAAACCTTTCTACATTTGATTGTAAAATCTTTCAACAGGATTTTTTCCTGTACCATTATTCATGTAAATGATAAATACTTCATGGTTATCAGAACCAAAAATGTCAGGGTTTGAGCACTTTTTAAAACAAAATATTTACTCTAGCTTTATTTGCTGCTTCAGTAATCAGAGCAGAATTGTTATAAGAAAACCTTTATATAATTCTTTAGGAAAATTAAAGCTAAAAGGCTTTTGGTCCCTTACCTTTCACTCTCTAATTTATGTTTTACTTTTAAGCCCAAATTATTCTACACAGTTATTCATTGTTTAAATGTCTGCAATAAAGCTCTGCTGCAGCAAACTGGATTTTTAAAACAGGTTAGCCAAGGGTCACATCACACCATAGAACTTAAAGGCAAGAAGGAATTTGCTGCTTTAACAAATGTAAAAAATGCCAGATATTGGTACTGTCTTGTGAGGTTTTTACAAATAGAAACATGTGGCTATACCATGGCTTTACTCTCCTTCTGTGATGATACTAGTTAATCTACTAGGATTCTTCTTATTAGTAAGGCTAGGCAATCTCTCCATCTCAGTTGTTTCCTTCTTGTTCAGGAAATAAAGACCTCTTCTGCTTGGGTGATAGAGGGTGGGTTTGTGATTTTCAATCATATAGGTCACTAGTACAAAAAAGGGACATAAACCGTTACAGATCCTGTCTGTCTCTTTTCCTCAGCCACTAGCACTTGGTGCAAAGGAAGGGAGACACAGGACCCAGGGACGTTGAATTCCTGGAGCTGGAGTCTGGCCCCACCTCTAGCAACAGCTGCCACCAGGCCTGGCCAGTCGCCGGATAAGGTGATGGAACAGAAAGCAGTGAGGTCATCCTCTTGTGGGGCAGAGGGTCGGACTCCTGGTCACGCCTTTTTAGAGTTGTCTTTTCCCTTTAAAAGGAGGACATGCTCAGGGGTCTCACATGTACACATTCATGAACCAAGGGGGAAGAGTTCTGACTACACACAACCAAGAATCAATATGAGGAAGCTGGTCAGGGGGGCCAGGCTTGCCTGTAACCACATTCCAAATTCGCACAGTTGCCTGAGGGTCTGGAGTTCCTTTTGCCGGCCATCCAGTACCAAATGATGGCCACTCAGGTTCACACAATGTTTCCAGCCTCCCTGGCTTTATCTTTACTCCATAATCATTCTGGAACCTGTCAAAGTTCTAAATCATACATTCTAATACAGTTGGCTTAGAGGGGGTGGTCCCCATAGTAACAATTTGTACTGGACTATAGATCAATTATCTCCTATCTCATTCTCTCCCAAACCCACTCTTCCAGAAATCCAAACAGCAGTCCCAGACTCAGCAGATTAGAGACAGCTGCGACACCGGTGACTGCTTTTGCCAACTGATCTTTATCAGGGTCTCGGGTTGTGTTGACAGTGAAGAAGGGTCCAGGCAGCTCGGACAGGAGTCCGATGCTCACGATCACGAAGGCAGCAAGGATGGAGGCGGCAGACACCTAAAACTGCAGGTGCGGGGGTTCGGGGGACAACCACACAAATGACCACACAAAACAAAACTCACAGACATACACGAAAAACAAGTATTTCTAGTCCCAGGAAAACAAACCTGACTGCTTTTTTTTCAAAACAAAGGAGACTTTGGGATCCCTGACAGGGCTCCCACAGCCTCCAAAACCCCTATGGAGCAGGACAAATGTAACAAATGGGCTGTTGGAATCCCTGGTGGGGTTCCCCAAGTCTCACAAACCATACCCAGATGGGTCAGAACAAATGACAAACGACCACTGGGTCCAGAGGTCTGGCCCACAAATTTCACAGTTCCAAAGTCCAGGCAAAAAAGGTCCCTGGATGAGCCAAAAGCAAAGCCAAATCCTACCAAGTGCAGTCGGGAAGCCTTGATTGTCTTGTTGTGTGGCATTCAATCCCTCTCCCTAGCCTGTGGTCTGGGAGACCGGCTAAACTCAGCCAAGGCGCCTGTGGCCTCCCAGGTCACAGATTCGAGGTCCAGGTTGGTGCCGCCCTGGAGGGGCCATCTATGGGGATCTCACTGGGGACCTCCCAACATTGCGGCAATGGTGCTTATTTAACTGAGTCACCCACAGAGGCCAGGTACAGAGAAAAGCAAGTTTACTGGGGGCCAACAGTGAGCACCCAGCAAATGACTGAGCACCGACCCTGGCGGGCAGAAGGGGAGAACAGTTATACAGTTCTATTCCTGGTATAGTTCCAGGTCTATGCGGAGGCGGGGTGGTGGTGCTGATATGATTTAGTGCAGCTATAGAAAGATTACAAAGCATGGGCTTAGCTTGTGACAAAAGAACAAAGGTGTTTGACATTTTACTCAGGGGACAAGCAGTCTTATGACAGAGCATGGGGTGGTATTAGGTTAGGTTACTATGATAACATTTATAAGAAACAAACTGAAGGAAACAGAAACTTAAGCTCTAAAATGGCACTAGAACACAAAATGGCATTGGTTTAGTTTTCTTTCCCATATCAGTATGAACTCAGACAGAGAGGCCCATTATGTTTTGGGGTTGGGAATTTTATGTGGTCTTGGGGGCATCTTCAAGATGGGTGACCTAGGTTGGGTCTGTGCTCCCATTTGGTAGTTTATGTTCAAATGCAAACCACTTCCATGTGTTTGAAGTTTAAAGATCTGCTGCCCACTAATATTGTTGCTTCCCTGAGGATGGAGGCCTTGGGAGGAGGAGCAATTTACAGGTGAAAACCACAGCCCCAACTTACAGGCTTATTGTACTTTTAAGACACTTAGGATTTTTTTTTTTTTTTTTTTTTTAGTGAATTTTATCTGGTCTAGTCATAGAGCCTTCAGCTAAGTAACCCTATAACTGCCAGGTTTTTTAAAAGTGAAATTTAAGCATCATATCACAGCAATAAATGGGCACCTATGTTGATAGCAGCACAGTTTGTAATAGCTAAATCTTGGAAACAACCCAAATGCCCATCAATTGATGAATGGATAAAAAAAATCTGACTTTTTTATACAATGGAGTACTACTCAACCATAAAGAAGGATAAACAAGGCATAGCTAAATGGATGGAACTTGAGACCATAATATTAAGCATAAATGTGTAATGTGTAATGTAGATATGTGTAAAAACTGCATTGTCTCTCTGGTGTGAGAAACTGAAAGTGTAAATAGCAACCAAAATATATAATAGAAATGATGAAATAGGAAGAAATTATTCAAAAGGAAAGGGGGACTAGGGAGGGAGGAAAGGAAGGAAGGGAAAAGAAAAAGAATGAGAAAAGAAGGATAAAATAGAAACAAAGCTTTGTGAGTAAGGAGGGGGAGAAAGATTGTAGGGAGGGGAAGAGAATGCAAAAAAAGAGGAATCAATATACATCATGGATAAGTACAAATTCTCCATGATGAATGTGGTTGGTATGTATACAAGTATATTGTACCAATAAACTTAATAAAAAAATTAAGTATAATTTAAAAACTATTATTTTCTTGTCTCCTTTCTGAGGTAGAATAGGAGATAGAAAGATAGAAAGAAGACAAGGAAAAGCATAACTAAACTTATACAACTTCCAGGACTCAGTCAAAATTACCCACGGCAATCCATATCTACATTCCAGTAGTTTTAATTTCCTTTCCTTTCCTTCCAGAACCATCACACCCAAAATTCCTCAGGGATTCTGTAAGCCCACAAATTGGCTTAAATTTTAAAAAGTAAAGAGCAGAAACCTGATCCTGAGATAAAAGAACAGGTGAGAAAATTCAAAGAATGCATAAATTATCCATCTTGGGGAAAGAAAAAAAAAACTAATTTCATACTACTAGCAGGATTCTGGAGAGCTGTGGACTCTAAAGATTCTTTCCAGGCTCTTCTTGTCCTGAACATAGACTCGGTCAAGACATGCGCAAAAGGTATCGAGGTTCTACCTTTATTAAAAGTAGGAAAAGAGGGGCTGGGGATTTAGCTCAGCGGCACAGCGCCTACCTGGCAAGCGCAAGGTCGTGAGTTCGATCCCTGGTACCAGAAAAAAAAAAAAAAAAAAAGTAGGGAAAGAAATACACTCTGCAGAGTGAGAGCTAGCCACTGAGAGAAGTCACAGTGGCCATGAGGCTAATGGCTGCCTTCTTTTATATCTGCCATTCTGATGTCAGATCTAGGCTGTCCTATCAAAAACCTACTTGATTTCATACCCAAAGAACTGAAGATAGTATTCTCTGATTGGCACTAGGTATCCTAGATTTATGTGATTGACAGGTCATGCCCACTTGCCCAGCCAGCTGGCCATGATTTAATCTCCTGCCTCAATACCTATAAAATGGGCCAGCACCATTTTGGGAGGTAGTATATCTTTCCTGGGGTTTCCACTTCCTCAAGAGAAGCATAAATGTTTCCAGTTCCAGAAAATAAGCTCTTCTCTCTTGCACTCTATTTCCTGCACTTGGTTTCTGTGTTGGTTTGGGGCACACTGTGCAAGAGAGCACAATATATAATACAGGACACATATTTCATAAGATTATTTATAATAGTCACCCAAAGAATGATATACTAAAGAGTGCAGGAAATCTGTCCACATACCAAGATCAAGGAATCCAGCTGAGTGCCTGGATCCCATGGGAATGTCCTCTGTGAGTCCAGCTTAAGACCTAGAGCTCATAACAGTTCCTCCCATGAGTCCAACTGCAGGCCCAGAGCCCATAACAATATCTCATGCAGGCCTGTTTCATGGATCTGCGCTGTGAAGGCCCAAAGGTCAGTGGTGGAATCTAGGAAGTCTTTGCCAGTGAGAAGAAGGATCTGTGCTAGCAGGCTGAGGGATCTATACTGAAGCCAGGAAGCAACACACAAAATAAGAACCAGAGCTCCCCTGAAAAGTAACACAGCCATCCACAGCAACAGTGAGGTCCCGAGCTCCTCTGATGATCAAGGTAGCTGAGTTCCCATCAGGGAAGCCAACATAGCAAGTTTTTCCCAGAGACTGGCAGTGCACCATCTTTCCCTCCGGAGCCAGGACACAATGCTCAGACTAAGGACAGGAGCTCCCCCAAAGTGAACCGAAGCTATTCTCAGTGCCAGTAAGGTCCCCAGCTCCTTGGAGGATGAACACAGCCAAGTTCATCATGAAATCCAGCATGATGAGCTCCTCCAACAGAGCCAATATCTCCTTACAGCTCTACCAGCTTCCAACAGCCTTTTTCTACTCCCAACAGCCACCATCTCCTTCTCTAATTCTGCCTCTTATGCTGCTAGCCACAATCCCCAGGTGGGCCTACCACACCCAGCACCATGCTTACTCAGATCAGCTGGGGGTTATAAGTTGACCACCAGTTATCAATCTACTACAGTTTCTTTTACATTTCTGCCTAATAAATCCCTTTATGTCGCTTACTGACACATCCTGAGAAGTCTTTTGCTAAGACAGTAATATAGGCAGCGTAATTGGTGGCTACAGGATCACTACCCTCCACTCACTCAAACCTTGGCAATGCCCCTGGGCCAACTCTCAATCTTACCCCAGAAGGGATACAAAGACCCAGAGCCCTCCAAGGAAAATTCTGAAAATTCCAAACCAACACACAGGCACACTAGACCTCCCTGTGTGTCCTAGAATAACCTTGCTTGCCCTGGAGCTCAATGAAAGTTCATTTGCGTGGACTGTATCTTATACATACAATTATAACAGAGTGAATTATTGAAAGGACATGTATAACAGCACCTTGTCAATCAAATCATGTTGTCAATAATGCTCTGGCAAATCTCGGACAGGAGGTGTTTCATTTTCTCATTACTAAGACAAAATACCCAACACCCAAAGTTGGAGGAAAGACTTATTTAGCTCACAGTTTATAGTGGTTTTCATTCATAGCTGGCTGGCTCCAAGACAGGATGGCATGGCAGAGGGGCATCACAGAGGAGAAACAGTTCATGGTGGGCAGAAGGCAGGAGGCAACAAGCTACAAGAGACCAGTGGTCACGCTAGCTCTCTTTCAGTCTCTGCATTAGGGTGGTAGCACTCACACCCAGTTATCACACCCAGAACTATGCCAAACCAATCAGTAGACTACTTTAGTAATCACACACTCTTAATCCCAGCATTACACACACTAGATCAAACCACCTCTGAAAAGGCCTCACCTATGACCCCATGAGGCTTTGGAGGAACATCTAGACACAATCCATACCAGGAGGTGCCTGACATTTACACTCCTATGCTCCACACCCTTGGCATTCAGTGCTATTTTCCTTTCACTCCAAGAATATTTCCGCTTTAGTAAACTTTGCTGCTATTTACTTGCTGCCATGTGCCACATCCTGTTCCTTGTTTGTCACATACAAAAACTTGGGATTGTGCATTGCACATTAGAACCTGGGAACCTGTTCTTGTGTCTAGAACCTGACACAAGATAACAGCCCAAGGTAACAACAGAAGTCAGCAAATCTGCAACTCATTCTCCAGGTAGGGTGGGTTTAGCTTGCTTATCTCAGTGGGAACCCTCTCAGACCCTATCTGGTGAAACTTTTTACGTGTCTTATTTCTTCTGTCCACAGGTTTGGCTGGGCATGAGCTGTCAGGGGTTAGTTGGGGTAGGGCGTGGGGTGGGCCTGGGCAGCTTGTTCAGAAACTTGCCATCAGGTTTTCAGATTGTAACTTTATAGCCACGTCAATCAGGACCACGTGATTTCATTTTAATGTTCCTTAACTGACACCTTCACAGATGTCCTATCTGCTTGGGTGTGGGGGCCTCAGGCATTTCAGGCACCGCAGAGCGAGAGGTGTTCAAAAGTATGCACGACTGTTATTGGCCACTCAGGTTCATTTGCTCATTGCTGACCAAATCAAAGATGGCTATTTATTTTGGTAAAAAGGAAAGAAGATTTATTTGCAGCTAGCTTCAAGGAGACGGGGGGGCGTATTTGCCTCAAATCACCGTCTCACTGTGTACAGGGAGGGAAGGGTCTTTCCTAATAAGGACCAGAGGGGAGTGGGAGCACAGAGAGGTGCTATGGATCTCCACACTTGTCTTGTGGAAAGGAAACCAGGCTCTGGCCTGCTGGGGCCAGCATCTGCACATTCTGTCATTCCTTTTGGGGAGGGGTGTTGGTTATGTACACAGCAGGAGGGACTTGGGAAAAGTTGCTCATCTCTAAAAGAAAAAAAAAAAAATCTAACTTCTAAAGTTCCACTTTGCAGTGGTTACAAGATTAGATTTCAAAATTTTAATTTTGACAAGCCACGGGCCTTGGTGTGTTGTTAGAGCTAGCGCCCCTGGCCAGATGCAGCCTCTGACTCGGGCACCCAAGGTGTTTGAAGAAAGGTACAGCTGCTGTGAGGACGTGGGATGACAAGTCCTCCCAGCAAACACCCGAGGTCAGGGGAAAAGCTTCTCTCCCTGAATGGCAGTGACTGTGACAGTGCCTAAATCACTGTGGGACTCAGTTTCCTCATCTCCAAGACGGAGTGTAATCACCCTTCGCCTGTGGGTTCTTTATAACCTTGGAGACAGTGCAGGTAAAGCATCTGGCACACGCTGGGTACAGGGCACTGTTCTCGTGTTCAGCAAGCCATAGGCTTCCAGTGTTGCAGGCAGGAACAGGAGACCCTTTTAGAACCGTGTGAAGGCAAAGGGGAAAAACAGCTCAGAAGGTCTCACATCCTGCAGCTCAGCAGGCTTCATTAGACTTTCATAAAATCAGAGTCAGGGAGACAGAGCACCAGGGGACTGATGGGGACTCAGCAGGAGAGAAGCTGGCCATCCCGCCCTCTCATCACCATGGAGATGGGGAACCCCTCCCAGGGTTCCCACCCACCCAGAGGCTGAGGCTGCAGAAGTGGGAGGGATAGGGCAGAGCAGACCCACACCATTGGTCTGCAAAGCTGGGGTTTGGTGAGGTTCTGGAGCACTCAGGCTGGGGCCGGATATGATGGCAGCTCTGCTGACCTGCTGAGTGCCAGTGGGAAGAACCCCTTTCCTCATCCAGCCTCAGGATCCGCACAGGTCAAAAGAACAGGAGGAAATGTAGGAAAACAGAGGGTTGGCTAAGAAAGCTGTAAGGAAGCAATAAAACATTTAACGCTGGGGAGAAGGTTCACCACATGTTGTTTACTGATAAAAGGGAACTTTGCAAAACTGACCAGTGTGACCCCATTTTTGTTTGTTAGAAAAGCAAACAGGGCCATCTATGAATGCTTTCCAAATATTGATAATAATAATAATAATTAATACATAAGGCTGGGGATATAGCTCAGCGGCACAACGCCTACCTGGCAAGCACGAGGTTGTGAGTTCAATTCCCGGTACAAATAAATAAACAGGTGGGAAGAGGAGAGAAGTAATATTGCAAAATACATTTCTGTTTGTTTCTTGAGGAAGGGATTTCATGTACAGCGGATGACCCTCGAATTACGACCTGCCTGACACACGAACAACTTGGGTTAGGACCAGAATTTTGAAGTCTTGAGTTATGGCTCGAATGCCGGCCGCTTGTGCTTCCAGATGGTCTCAGATACATACTGAACCCTTAAAGAGTCTGGAAGAAACACTACAGCATCCTGTCCTGTGAGGGGTTCATTGAGAAATCCTGGGCCACTGTCTCTCTAAGGATGCTGAGATCTGCCTGTGTACAGGAGAGAGACTTTGAAGGCTGTGTAGAGGAGCCTGAGCCTCCAACTGACACCCTGAGTTACAACCAGGCCTCGGGAATGAATTGAGTTCCTAAGTGAAGGGTGTACCTGTACATGACTTTTTATTCTCTTGATCTTTCTTAAAATTTGGTCAAGGAATACGAGTGACTTTTGAAGTCAGTAACATTAATAGTTGCATATAGCGGGACATTGTGCTGAATGTTTTACCTGATTTAAACCCCTTTCAGTGTTCACAGTAACCCATGAGAGCAACCATGGAACTAGATTCCAAAGCTAGAGCACTTAGTCATTACTACCACTGCCCCCTGGGACAAGAAAATGCCGAAAGTTACATTTTCTTAAATGTTTTACTGTGGAAAATACCAAAGAAATCCAATATAGAAAGACTAATAAACTCAACTATACCCACCACACAGCTTCTAGAAGTCAGTTGGGCCAGGCATGGTGCATGCCTGTAATCCTAGCACTTGGGAGGCTGAAGCAGGAGGATTGCCATGAATTCAAGGCCACCCTGAGCTGCATAGCAAATTCAAAGTCAGCCTGAACTACATAGTGAGACCCTGTCTCCAAAAAATAAAAAGTGCAAAAGAAGTCAGCTGGTGAGATGGTGTCGCTGTAATCCCAGCACCCTGGGAGGCCTCCAAGGCAGGAAAATCACAAATTGAACCCAGCCAGAGAAATTTAATCCCTATCTCAAAATACAGTTGTTGTTGTTGTTGTTGTTTAAGGGCTGAGATTGTAGCTCAGTGTGAAGATTCTAGGTTCAATTCTCAGTGTTGCATGGGGGGGCAGTCCTTAAATGGAAGGATTGCCAGGTGTGGTGGCGCACACCTGTAATCCCAGCACTCGGGAGGCTGAGGCAGGAGGATCATTGCAAGTTCAAGACCACCCTGGGCTACAAAGTGAGCTCAAGGCCAGCCTAAACTGCATAGCAAGACCCTGTCTCAAAAAGACAAAAAAAAAAAAAAGGAAGAATTGAGGATGGGTTGCTTAGGAAGAGGAAACAGGCCCAGAGGCTCCAACCCACACGCGTGCACACACACGCACAGCACATGCACACATGCGTTCAAGGCTCCCAGGGACACCCTGGGGCTGCCTCCGGAATTGTAGAATGTTCTCCCCCGGGGAACCGCAGCTGCTTTCCCCGCTCTGCCCCCACACCAGGTTCCTTCCTGCTTTCCACACTTTCTGACGTGTATTTCCCCAGCTGGCTCCTTTATAGTTCTCTGGCTCTCCTCCAAGGCCTGCAGGTTGTGGCAGCTTGGCCGACACCGGAGGACATGGCCAGAGACCAGGACAACACACTGAGATGGGCAACCCTCGTGGTGCTGGCCACCGTGGGCACAGCCCTGACTGTGACCATCAACCCTGGCTTCGTGATCAGGATCTCCCAGAAGGGTCTGGACTACGGTAATTGGTGCCTTCCTTCTCTCCTCTCCCACCCTTGAAGAGCACGCTGTGAGCACGTCCTGTGTGCAGCCCTTTAAATCCAGTGCCTGGCATCTCACAGCTCTGCAAGGTAGGCTCCCTCACCCCTGTTTTACATAGGAGGAAACTGGGGCAAGGTGAGTGGCCCACGATCGCAGGACTGGCAAGAGGCAGAGCTGGGACCGGAGCACCTATCTAGAGGACCCCACGTTCAGTGTCCAGTCCTGTGAGGGTCCTCATGCTCCCCTCGTTCTACCCGCTCCCAAACTCGGGCTTCTAGGCCCATCTCTTCTTTCCAAAGCCGGCTCTCAGCCTTGGTATTTGCGTCTCCAGGCAGAGGAGGCAGGGCGGGGGAGGGGAGAGCAGAGAGGGCCCTCCTTAGTGCGGGGCCGGCAGGCACACTGTGCACCGCACCCCCTGGGTGACCCAGAGAGTGCTGTCCAGGCTGCTCCTCCAGGCCCAGACAGGGGACAGAAAGGCGGCTGGCCTGCTATGCCCTGGGCCAGGCTCTGTCTAGCAGCTTTACCCACGCGGTCTCCCTTAGCCTCACAGCAGTGCTGGCTGGGACACACTGTTACCATCGACAGTCACAGGTGAGCGAATCCGACCCCACGACGCAGGCTCAGAGAGGGCAGTGAGAGAGGGCAGCCTGATCTGGCGCTCCCGTTTATCTGCCAGCCCCAGCATGGCTCGCTGGCGCCTCTTGGTGGAAGAAAGATGGACTGCAGCGCTGTGGGGAAACCCAAACCCAGGAAATCAGACCAAGGCCCAGGCAGACGCCCAGGCGCTGATGCACCAGTGGAGACTAGCAGGGCAGGACTCAGAGCGACCTGGCACCCGACTCTTAAGTTCTCACCCAGGCAGGACAGCTCAGGATGCCATGGGTGTGGACAGAGGCCCCACCTGACCCAGGAGGAAGGAGTATGTTCCAGCTCCGAGCCTGGGTGCTCCTGCAGGCTTCCTGTGATCAGCTGTTCAGCTGAGGGCTTTAAGCCCAGAAATCCTGGTGCTCAGTCATAGCTGCCTCAGTTTCCTCTCCTGCTCGTACCCCATGTGGCAATCAGAGTGAGTGTTTCTGAAACGCAGCAAATGTGTTCAGGTATCATCCCGCTCTCCCAATACTATTCAGTGGCTTTCCAGTGCCTGCAGAAGCTACTGTGGGCCTTTGGCACTGCACTGGAGACCCAGATCCTGGCCATCCCACATTCTGTTTGTTTGTTTGTTTTTTCCGGTACCGGGAATCAAACTCATGACCTCGCGCTTACCAGGTAGGTGCTGTGCTGCTGAGCTAAATCCCCAGCTCCCCATCCCACATCTGTTTCCTCTCTGGAGGTGACCGCATATGCAGTGTTACTCAGGACATGGGCTCTGGGACCAGAACACCTGACTTCCAATCGTGCTCCCCCACTTGCCAGCTGTGCAGTCTTAAAGCATGTTGCCTTTCTGAGCCTCAGCTTCCCCATCCATGAGATGGGAAAGTAACAGGACCTCCCTCCTAGGATTGTTTAGAGTCAGTAACTTGACAGAGGTACGCAACCTAGAATAGTGCCTGACACAGAGAAAGAGCTTGATATAGTCTGTTATCGTCATTATTGTTGTTGTTTCCAAATAGGCTCTTGGAAAACCAGAAGCCCGGCTAGTAATCTCCCCGTTTTTTACTGTTTATCCTTCTCAGATAGTGTGTTTGCCTGTTAATTGGTTCTTTGATGCTGTGAGCTACATAATAACTGATGATAAAATTGTTGCCTTTGGGGCATTCATTTATTTATCCAACAAATATTAAGTGCCAGGCATGGTGGAAAATGTAGGAGACACATTAATAAATAAAACTGACATTGCCGATAACCTCAGGGGGCTTACATCTAGCAAGGGAGAGACACATTAATCAGAGTCACATAATAATAATAATAAATGCATAATTACAAACAGTAATGGAGACTCCAAAGGAGATGTCTGTCCACAGCATTGTGAAAATGATAACAAGGGGGTTTCTCCATCTACTGGATCAGGAAAGGTTCCCAGAGGAAGTGACTAGACATTGACCAGGTGAACATGGAGGAAAGCCAGAAACAGCATGTACAAAGGTCCTGTGGAGAGTTGAAAAGTCAGGTTGCACAGCACAGAGTGAGGCAAGGAGTAGGTGTGCAAGAGATACTCATAGGATGCATGACTGGGTTTTGTGGGGAGATGATATTTTAAGCCAAGGGTCAATAAACCAGCAACCTTGGCCAAACGTGGGCTGCTGCACATTTCAGGATGGCCTGTGAGCTAAGAATGGTTCGTATGTTGTTAGACGGCTGAAAAAAATAAAAGAAGAATAATACCTCCCAACACGTGAACACTATCTGAAATGCAAATGCAGTGTCTGTAAATAAAGCATTGCAACATGGCCACATTGATTCACTTACATCGCGTCTGCGACTACTTGCGCCCAGTGACATAGAGTGGCATGGCTGTGACAGAGATGGTGTGAAACACGACACTGAACATATTCACCGTCTGGCCCTCTATGGAAAACTGTCACAGACCCCTGATGTAGACCCTTCCAGTCCCACTGTCCCCGCTATGGACAGAGACCCGGTGGCTGCGCCTCTGACCATCTCTCGCTCTATTCTGCTCTCAGTCTGCCAGCAGGAGATACCTGTGCTGCAGAAGAGGCTGGAGAACATCAAACTGCCCAACATCTCGGGAAGCTTCAAGATGAAGTTTTTGGGGAACGGATATTTCAGCTTCTACAGGTGAGGCTCTGGAGGAAGCCACAGAATCTGCCTTTCCCGAACTCCCTGCGCCTCCCTGGGGAGCCGTCATGAGCTCTCGAACTCTGCGCATGCTCCATTTATCAGTGAGGACTCTGAGGCAGTTTCAAGGACAGAAAACCTAACCCCAAATGGCCCAAACTGGAATTCATCGGCTCATGTGACTGAAGAGCCCCTGGCATAGCCTGGCTTCAGTTTCAGTTTGAGCCAGGCTCAAATGCCATCGATCCGGTATCTCTCTCAACACTGCTTCCTTGGAGAAGCCTAGTTCTCAGCAGAGTGGCCCTCCAGAGACAAGACAGCCACCAACAACTCTTGCTTCATCTCAGCACTAAGTCCTGGAAGGAGAGCATTTTCGCCTTCCGACTCAAGCAGAAGCCCTTAGGTTCAATCTGATTGGTCCATTGCAGGTTCTGTACATGCCCCTGAACTGATCACTGAGGCCAAAAAAACACAGTACACTAGTTGGCTAAACCTGAGTCCTGGGGCTGGAGATATAGCTTCCCCGTCTGGCAAGCATGAGGTGCTGAGTTTGATTCCCCATACAAAAAAAAAAAAACAAAAAACCTGAGTCACAAGTTCCAGCCCTGAAGACAGAGGTACAGTAAAGTCAAATCTCTTGGGAGTGGCATTCACCAGCCAGGAGGAGCAGCTTCCTAAAGTAGAATGGTAGGTCTGTTACCATAAAAAAGGGCCTGTGGACCCTGGACAGAAAGCCTGCAGACGTCACCTCCAGAATTCTATACCCCATTCACTCAACAGATATTCTGAACTCTGACTCTGTGTCTGACACAGCAGCCTCTGGGCTACAATAGTGAAACAAAACAGAAACACTCTGGCCCTTTGTGGAGCCTGTAGTCAGGAGTTTAGCATTTGTTATCTCCACCTATAGTCACACAGCCTGCAAGAGAGATGACTGCGCCCACTTTACAGGGGAGAGACTGAGGCTCAGGGCAGTAAAATGTAGGTCCAGGAAAGCACAACAAAAGTGGGGGATGTGAATACAAATGTGTCTTCCTTCAAAGGCCAAACCACACCAACACCCCATGCTCGCCAAGGCTGCTCTCAGAGCGTCTGGCTCCTCATGGAGTAGATATGGGGAAGGGTTTAACCAAGTCCTGGTGCAGACACCCAGGAAGCTGATTGAACTTTTCTCCTTTGCAGGATGAATGTCCTCAATTTCCAGCTTCCCAGTCACCAGATAAGACTGCAGCCCAACGTGGGCCTTCAACTCTCCATCAGCAATGCCCATGTCATTATCAGTGGAAAATGGGATGCCAAAAAGAATTTCTTGTATGTCTGCATGCCTGGGCTTTGTGGGGTGAACCCTTGGTGCTGTTTGGAAGTGATTAGATCCAGGGTATGAGGAGTGCTCAATTTTTGCCTTCCCATGACCTCTTGTTACCAGAGGTTTTGTGGAGGAATTTGTCACTTGAATCAGCATAAGCCTTGGTCCACATCCCAATATAGGACATGGCAAGGCTGAATGGATGCATGTGGCTTGGAAGGGAAAGCTGAGCCTGAGCCGGACCTTTCATTTACCCTCTTTGTCAGCTAGCTATTGCTGTGTAACAAAACATCCCAATCTTAGTGGTTCAAGCAACAATCATGTTATCATCGTATGTTCTTTGTGTCACCTAGGGTTCTGCTGATCTAGGGTGGGCCTAGCTGAAGAGGCTCTGCTCCTCTTCCATGGACCCATCAGACCGTTGCTGGGTGTGGTAGTGCATGCCTGTAATCCCAGCACTTGGGAGGCTGAGGCAGGAGGATCATTGTGAGTACGAGGCCAGCCTGGGCTACAAAGTGAGTTCAAGGCCAGCCTGAACTGCATAGTGAGACCCTGTCTCAAAAAGACAAAAAAAAAAAAAAAACTACCCAGACCATATGTGACAGCAAAGGTACAAAAAAGGGCAGGAGGAACATGCAGGTCCTCTTAAGGCCTTGTCTCAGAAAAGGCCCATGGTCACTTCTACTCATATAGCATCAGTCAAATCATGTCGCATGGCCAACTCCAAGCCAAGAGCAAAGAAATACACCCCTCCCCTAAGACAGGAAATGTCAAGGGTGTGGGTGCGGGAAGCATGATGAATTGGGGCAGATCATGAGAGCTGCAGCTTTGAATCTAAGTATTGGGGTGTCCCCACAATGAGCCTGCTCCGTAATAATGATGGCTCAGACTGAACCTCACTTTGAAAACATCTGCATGGGGAAATAGAAGAGAAAATGCAGGAGAAGCCACACTGGGTGAAGAGAAGGGGTGGGTCAGCCTCCCTTACAAGAACTAAGGGTCAGCCTGCTCCCCACAGTAAGGATTGCACAACCTGGGCACTTTTGTATCTATCATTTCCCTCATTGATCAAAAAATAATAACAATACTTCATCACACCATGGAGGAGTTAGTGAAGTACCTCCATGTGCACAGTCTCACCCAAACTCATCCCCCTCACCGAGAAAGCAGATATTAACCTCATTCATTAATCGATGGTACAGAAAGGATGAAAGTCATTGGCCTCAAACATTCAAATTTTTAGTGGCAAATGACACATTCATTCTGGTGTCTGCCTGCTGGCCTAGGATCTGAGGAAACGGAAGCTCAGAGAAGTTAAGAAACAAGCCCAGCACCACACAGCAGACCGTGAGGTGGGCATTGAGAACCGCGTCTGCCGGGCAGGCATGGGTTTGGACTTCACACTGGCATCCTGACCCGAGAGGTCTGTCCTACGTGACCATGGGCAATCTGCGTCTTCTCTGCCACCACCTCCGCCCTGCAGTGGGGATAAGATCGAGATGCACCTTCTGGCGCTCGTGAGACGTGTGAGCAGCGATGGGAACGGGAGTCTGCCTTCTGCCTCACTTCTCTTTGTTTCCCTTCAGCAAAGCCAGTGGCGACTTTGTCCTGAGGGTAGAAGGCATCTCCATCTCGGCTGATCTGAAGCTGGACAGCAACCCTGCCTCCGGCCGCGTCACCATTGCCTGCTCCACATGCAGCAATTCCATCAGCAAGGTCCGCCTGCACATCTCCAACAGCAAAGGGGTACTGGGGTAGGTTCTCCTGGGCTGTGGGTGCGGGGAGGGACCGAGAGGAGCAGGTCCACCAGGGCAGGCCAGGGCCACAGGTGAAGGAGGCCAGTCCCAGCCCCTAGGCCTAATTTCCTCAGTCGATCCTCACCGGGCACTGAGGATTCTCCGCAGCCCCACTCCTGCAAGGCACTTTCTGTCTGCACTGCGTGGGCCCATCCTCACCCCACATCTGCAGCCCACATCTGCCCATTCCCTAAACATCTTCCGGGAAGCACCTGCACCAGGCCTGCACGGCCCACTCAGGACCAGCAGCCACCGATACAAACTTGGCCCCAAGTGGCCTTGATCAGAGGCTCCCTGTGTGCCAAGCACTTTTAGCACATTTGTCACTGCATGCAGCGCACCAGGACTCCGTGAAGTTGGTCTTTTACTAGGTCACTTTCAGGGAGAAACCAAGGCCCAGAAAGGAGAGCAGTGACCTCTTTCTGTAGCTGTGAGTGTCCGAGTCCAGGGCTCTGCCCCAGGCCGTCAGCCACACAGCCCAGCAGGGAAGGCAAACAGTCCTCCCAATGCTGAATCAGTGAATGGTTCATCTGTAATTACAAAAGGAGATAAGAACGAAGAAACAGAGATGCAGAGTGCTATGAACATAGAGCAGGAGGTTGGGGTTCAGTCCGAGAGCTGCCCGGTGCTTCCTCCATGAATGATATTTGAAGTGAAGTGAAAAGAATAAGTAGCAGTTAATCGGGTAGCTGTTGGGGGCCGGGTGATTTAGTCAGAAGGCGCAGCCTGGGCAAAGGCACTGCGGTGGGAGGAGGCAGAGGTCACAGGGGTGCTAAGGCAGGCGGTGGGGGTGGTGTGTGAAGACAAGTGCAGATGCAGGAGAGGAGGAAGACAGGGCCTGGCCAGGACCTGACCATGCAGCAAAAGAAATTCACTGACAAGCGGGGAAATGGGTATGGGTTGTGTACGGTCGGAGCGCAGGGGCTAGGGTGCCAGGACCTCTGGGGAGGAGGGAGGGTGGCTTCCCAGAGGTGCTGGCCTCCTGTATCCAGCCCGGCTATCCCTGGTAGTCTTATATATGTCCCTGCGTGTCAATCTCCAGGTGGCTGGTCCGTCTCTTCCGCAAGAAAGTTGATTCTTTGCTCCTAAAGACCTTGAACAAGAAGGTAAGAGGGACCGGGTCTTGCCCGCGGCCATGGCAGGAGAGTTCTGGGAGCCATGTCCCTCCAGCCTTAGGGACCCCTCTGCTCTTGACCCTGACCCCATTGGCAGCCCCTGTGGCCCTCTGAAATCACAAATCTGGCTCCTCAAGCTGGGCGCGTGTGCATTTTACTGAGGAACCTGAGAGACCAGAAGGGCCGCTTCCCAATCCACAGCCATCGTAGCCTCTCCGTGCTGCCTGAGCTACGCCCCGTCCCCTCGTAGAGGACACTGTGTCCACCCCACCTGCTGCTGCCACACAGACCATGAGCCACGCACAGAGCCCGAAGCAGGGCTTTGGCCAACGCCCCACTGTGACCTTCGCCTTGAAGCTGGAACCGGGACAAGGGACTGGCACAGGCTGGCGCTCTCCAACTTCCCCATGCCCGAAAACCCCAAGCCAGCCTCCTCTGCCAAGAAAAGACCGTTCGTTGCCCTGTTTTCCATTAACAAGGAAACACATGAGCCTGTCTCACAGGACAGATGAGGTTAGGCTTTCTCCAGAGGGCAATGCGGAGCCACTGAAGATTTCAGGCACATGAGTGGCCTGGCTAGATTTGTGCTGTAGAAGAATTTCCCTTACGGCTCGGAGGAAGACTGGAGGGGCCAGGAGTGGGGCAGGAAGACCACGGAGGAGGCCTGTGCAGTGTGCAGGGTGGGAGATGCTGGTTTCCTGATCAAAGGCAGTGAAATGCAGGTAGGAAGACACCTATCCAGTGAGATCATCTATCTGAAAATACTGTGTCAAAGGTTTTAAATAGGAGGAATAACGCTTGGGTGTCAAGAGACATAAGCCTGGATTATGGAATGAGCTTCAGCGTCAGAATCCCTTGCACAGCCAGCTGTGAAACCTTGAGCAAATGACTTGACCTTTCTAAATCTCAGTTTTTCCATCTGTAAAAGGGGGACATGAGCATGCTGTCAAGTTGAGAAGACACGGTAGACCATGTGCTTGCCCTCTAGCCTGCCTCGCCACAGCTCAACCTCCTAGAAAGTTAGGCAACCACCTGAGAAGAGCGGTAAAATCTATTGAACACCTCAGACAATTAGGTTGTTTCTTGGCACCACAAATAGCGGCTCACTATAGCAGCCAAGATCAAAAGTGCTGCTGCTGGAACTGGTGATGCTGAGGGTGGTAAGGTCGATGGGGACTTCCTGCACACGCTATGTGCTACCCACGCACTTGGCCCTGTGCTCAGAACTCTGCGTGGATTCCTGCCTTGAAGCTGTATGTTCTACATTAAGTCCCCCGTGAGAGAGATGTCATGAGTACCCCCTTTTCACAGATGAGCAAACTGAGCCGGAGAAAGGGAAAGTGACAGTGCTGGGATCAGATCCAGTCCACGGGTCGCAGAGGCAGAGAGCCTTCATCAGCACAGGGCCAAGGTTTTAGGGAGTCCAGGCTGGAGCGGATGCATGAACAAGGCCGTGATGCCAGCAGACCTGAGGATGGGAGGGGCGAGCTGGAGGTCCCTCATGGAATTCTGGGAGTGCTGGAGACTGAGGGGACAGCCTGGGCCTCTGAAAGGCCCGTGTGTTGGGGGCAACAAGGAGCTTGCTCCGCAGGCAGCCAGGTGAGGGAATGCGTTGTGGTTTGGAGCCACCTGTGGGCCCTGATAGCTGAGCAACATCAGGCAACAGTGCCTGAGGGACAGCTCACTGTCCCCTGCTGTCCCTTCATCCCAGACCACTTGGAGAAGAGGCACAGGCTCCTCAGAGAAGGACACTCTGGATCCTCTTGGCGCTTCCAGAGCCTCAGGTGACAGAAATGCATTTCAGGGGCACCCAATCCTGCCCCCAACTGCCCCTCTTCTTCTCCCTTCCTCCCTCCAATCGTCCCCTCCTCCAGCTGGGCCTGGGCTGCAAACCAAGGCCTGGTGTGGGCCACAGAGGGGGAGAAGCGGGAGACCCCACGTGAGTCCCCCAGCAGGGGCTGAGACAAGGACTTGGGCGCCAGCAGTCTATGGGGAGCAACAGTCTATGCAGTGCTGTGTGGGCTAACACTCTGGACCCCCGAGGCTCAGTCCTGTGGGGATCCCCAGCCTGGGTTTCACGAGAGGCTAGGGGAGAGACAGACTGAGCGGGTGAGACGTCCTCAGGCTCAGAATCGGGAAGAGGAGCGTGATGAGCTCTTGCTCAGAGGACTGCAGTGACAGCATTTCCAGAAGAGCAGACCACCATGCCAGGGCTACAGCAGTCACTGGAGGCCAGGATGGAAGACACTCAGCTGTACAGATGGGGGAAGGCATCAGAGCCCGGCTCCCGTGCAGCAGGGAGAGCTGCAGCCTGAGCCCGGGGGTCCAGCCGTCCAGCTGCTTCCAAAGCAACAGCCCCAGACTGGGTGTCCCACAGCCACCGCTGCTCTCGGCGCCCATGGACTCTTCGGGTCAGGAGATGAACCTGGTGCTGCAGGGAGGGCCCAGCCGCCCTCTACTCCACAGCATCTGGGCCTCATCTACAAAGACTCCAGAGCTCAGTCCCAATCCTGAGGAGGCTTCCTACCTTGGATCTTTGAAGCCAAGGCTGAGAAGCCTTGAGGGCTCAGCCCAGTTGGGATTACTGACTTAAGCAGCTACCCACGGCCCTCCAGAGGGCTTGGGTTACTCACAGAATGGGACTGGGTGCCCAGAGGGAGTGACTAGAGAGGGAGCATTTCCTGAGCAAAAGTGAGGCGGCACAACCTTTTATGACCTCACCTCTGGGAGGTCCAGCATCAGTTGAACTACTTTCTCTTAGTCAGAAACAAGTGGCCGCGCCCAAATCCCAGGGAGGCTCCACCTCCTGGTGAAGATGTGGTAAGGGCACCTTACGGCAGCACCGCGCAAGGGAAATGGGAAATCGGCAGTACCCCCTATATCCACAAGGGTGCGCTATAAGACACCCCCCACCCCACCCCTGAAACAAAAGGGTGCCCAAAATTGACGGTAGTACGTAACCCTCTATACAGAACCATGCTTTTTCCTATTCAGACATTCCTATAATAAGATTTATTTTATGAATTAGGCACAGTAAGTGATTAACAATATGTTGTTCTAATCACCAAATAGAACAATCCTAGCAATATATTGTAATAAAATCACCAGCATCACTGCGTTTGACATCTGGGGTTGTTAAGTCAAATATAGGTTATCTGAGCACAAACACTGTGATACAACAGTGGTGGATCTGAATCCCGAGATGGCTCAGAGACTAATGGGCAGGTTGTGTACACAGCATGAATCTGCAGGACAAAAGGCTAATCTGTGTCTCCGGTGGATGATGTGAGATTCCACCACACTTCTCAGAACAGCCACAACTTAAAACTTAAAAACTGTTTATTTCTGGAATTTTCCACTTAATATTTTTGGACTATGATTGGCCACGGGAACTGAAACCATGGAAAGCAAAACTTCAGGTAAAGAGGAGCTCCTTATGTTCCATTTTATGGGTGAGCAAATCAATGTCTACCGACATGGAGTGACTTCCTCAGTGGCAAATTCAGCTGTGACCAGTGTCTGTTCCTTTGTGAGGCACAGATGGGGACAGTGCCAGGGTTCTCTGGCCATACACAGCAACAATGTTGTGGCTGACCCCGGACTACCTCATGTTTATTTACCCCTTCATTCCATGAAGGGTCTGAGACAGCAAAAACTGATTAAAAAACAAAAACCTCACACAATAGCACAGCAAAGAGAAATACACATCAGGGAAGTTCCATACTAGAGAAAGAAACAGAACGCAGATATATAGGTCATGCAGTCATAGTCAGTTACTGTTTCCAAGAGCATATTGGACTCTGAGCTCGATTTTGGCCAAAGAAAAAAGGAGATTTGATTAGCTACATGATTTTCAAGAAAACATTCAAGGAAAGGAAAGCTTGTGCTACACTCTGAATGTGTCCCCCCTGAAGTTCATGTGTTGGAAACTTAACCCTGCAAATTCATATGTTAATGATATTGAGATGTGGGACCTTTGGGAGATGACTAGGATTAAATGAAGTCATGCATGTGAGGTCCTTATGATGATGTTAGTGGCTTTCTAAGGAGAGGCAGAGAGACCCTAGATAGTATGCTTGCTGTCTCTCTAAGTGATGTCCTCTGCCATGGTAGGGTGCAGCAGAAGGCCTCTCTAGATGCCAGGCATATGCTGCCACCATGCCCTGGGACTTCCTAGCCTCCAGTACTGTGTCCTTATGAATCTCTGCTCTTTATAAATTACCTGGTCTCAGGTACTATGCTATAGCAACAGAAAACAGACCAAGTCAGAGTGCCTGGACTTCCGCCCAAAGGATGTATCCCACTATAGGAAGCCTTTGCTGATCACATCTTTGGTTCCCCCTAGATCTGCAAGATACTGACCAATTCTGTGGACACTGACTTGCAGCGTGACATCCAGACTCTTCCAGGTCAGGTTGGGTGGGGATGGAGGAGAGAAGGGGCAGGAGGGAGTGGCGAGGGAGGCAGGGTACGCATGCCAGGCCTGGGCCTGGGCAGGAAGGGCAGAGCAGGCTATTGGCCACTGGCATTGGGCCAGACTGTTGTGGTGGATCTGGAAATGACATGGAAAAGCAGCCAAAGCCATGCATTCCTTTGGCAGGGGTCAAACAGCCCAGTACCCCCTGCCTCCTGAGTCTGTGTGCATGCAAGGTGTGGGGTGAGCACCTGCTCAAAGAATCCTCCAGCACCTAGGAAGTTCCAGGCACCATCTGCCCTCTACATCTTGACAAAAAGTGGCTTGGAGAGGTACAAGGACTTGTCCAAGGTCACACAGAGTTGCATGCAAATCCAGGATTCTCTGTCCCCTTGGCTCTGTGTTTTAGCCATGCATCTTGGAGCTTTTGGAAGAAAGGTTTAAGATGGTGTTTGTGGATATGGAATGTGGTTTGTTTCCTCCAAGGGGAGTCCAGGAGGCCTCCTTGGAGGAGGTGGGATGGAGCCGGAGCTACAGTTTCAGCCCAGTCTTAGGGCTGCTGTCATGGAAACCATCTCATTCTCCATCTTCTTTGTCTCTAGTGACATCCAAAATAGACAAGGTGGCTGAGATTGACTACAGTCTGGTGACTGCTCCAATAACCACAGCTGACAGCCTGGACTTGCCACTGAAGGTGAGGATCACACCTCTGCCCCAGACCAAGGGCTCCTCACTGGCCTCCAAAAGCAACCTCACAAGGCCTCGGCCCTCTCTCTGCCTCCCCCCTGCCCCTCCCTCCCCACCTGCAGCCACCCTGGGCTCCCTGCCATTTCTGACCCTCCCTGTGTCTCCCCTGGCCAGGGCTTCACGCGTTCCCTCTGCTCAGGATCCTCCTCCCATGCGACATCCATCCAGCTCTCTCCTGCTCCCTTCCAGCCTCTGCTCAGATAGGCTCTCCCCAGAGACACCTGCCTACACCACACCACACACGGCCAGCTCAGTGATGCAACAGAGTAAACAAGTCAAACAACACATAATTGCACCCGCCCAGGAGAAGGGCTGTCTCCTCTGGGCTCCTGCCTAGGGCCAACACCCACAAGTTGACCTCCAAGGTCCCAAGTTCTAAGCATTCACACGCACACAGGTGAAAGCCCATCTAGATTTTGCTGGGGATGTGTTTGCACGAATAGATGCACACCGTCCTTCAGCTTGCATTTCTTACTTAATGATGTGCATTGAAGCGGGTTTCAGACGGGGAACGAGGTCCCTCGTATTATTTTTAAGAGCTGCGTGGTATTCCGTAGCATGGGTGTCACGGTCATTAATTTTAAATAATGATGACTTAGAGGTTACACACCCAGGTACCCACCACCCAGATTTAAGAAATGTTCCCATTTTGTCATATTTGCTTCTGATATTTTAAAAAGTGAAACACTGTGGTAGTAACTCCTAGGCCCCTCTTCCTCACCTCCCTGCTCCTCACCAGGTACCCGTGCTGACCAAAGCAAGTCTCCTCCCCTCCTTCCTCTCCCGCAGCCCTTCTTCTTGCACTGGGGATTGAACTCAGGGCCTTCACTGTGAGAGCTACATCCCAGGCCTTTTTAAATTTTGAGACAGGGTCTCACTAAATTGCCCAACATAGCTGGCCGTGGTGAGACACGCCTATAATCCCAGCACTCGGGAGGCTGAGACAGGAGGATTGCCATGAGTTTCAGGACAGCGTGGGCTCCTAAGGGAGTTTAAGGCCAGCCTACACCACATTGTGAGACCCTGTCTCAAAAAAAAAAAAACAAAAAGTTGCCCAATTTGGGCTTATCTTTAGGATCCCTCTACCTCAGCCTCTTCTGCAAAGTGCTGGGATTACCGTGTGTCCTTGTCCATGTTTTTATATTTTTATGGTCCTTTAAGCTTTACATATGTGGAATCCTAGCATATGTATCCACCTATGGGTTTGCTTTTGTAAGCTTGCCATTACATTTTGGCACGTTGCCAAACTGCTCACTAGAAACATAATATACATGTACACATACACAGCCTACAAACACTCACAGAACATATCAGTTTCAAACACACACAACACTCACAAAAGTTTAGCTCCTTTCCATTCTGCTCCCCAGACAGCGGAAACAGCACTCGGAGTCTGGCTGCTCTTTGATGGGCTCCATTCTGTCAGCCAGGTACAGGCAGAGCCAGAAGCATGGCTGGGCGTGTGCCCCAGACTCTGCATGCCTAGGTTCGGGGCCTGGCTCTGCCACTTGCCGGCCGTGTCACTTAGGCAGGTCACTTCACGTCCCTGTGCCTCAGCATCCCCTCCTGTACAGTGGCAGGGAGGCAGAGAGGCACGCATGGCAATGTCACCTAGAAGGCAAACCATGTGTTATCAGTTCAAGGTCATCAGTTTTTCCTTTCAGTCAGACTGTTGTCCTCGACTGCCTTCTCCTGGGATGGACTGTTGAATTATGCTTCCCCAAGGCTTCCCCTGGCTTACTCTATTGCCTCTCTTCCCCCAGGGGGAGTTTTTCAGTCAGGCCGGCCGCAGCCCACCTCCCTTTGACCCTCCGGTGATGACCATTCCCCCTGACCACGACCGCATGGTGTACCTGGGCGTGTCTGACTACTTCTTCAACACAGCCGGGCTTGTGTACTACCAGGCTGGGGTCTTGAAATGGAACCTCACCAAAAACATGGTAAAGCCCGGCCAGGGACAAACCCCGAGGAAATGCCCCGGAGTCGGGGTCTAGCGGACCTTGTGAATTTGAGGCTTTGTCCAAGATGCTGATTCTAGAGCCAAGAGTCAGGCAGGTCTGAGTTTGAACGCTGGTCCATCCCTTTCTAGGCTGGTGACCCTGGGCTAGTTACTTAGCCTCTGGGAACCGCGGTTTCATTTCCGCCTCCAGAGGGCGCCATGAAGATGAAGGGAGGTAGCAGTGCCCAGGAGGCAGGCGCAGCTGTGAATTTGAGCGCCAAGCGTGAGCGTGCACTCACGTGTCGGGCTGTAACCCAGCCCCAGCCTCGCCTCTCTATCCTCCTCGGCAGCCTATCGCATGTTCATGCCTGCTATCCACACTGGGTCGCAGTTTACCCATCTGTACAATGAAGAAATGACCCTACTCACCAGATTTTAGGCACAACCAGATCCCAATCCAGCTACTGCCCTGTGTAGAGGTGATTCCAAGACTCTCCTTTGTGTGGGCCACTCGGATGCGTCTGCAGAGGCAGCCTGTTCAGACAGCCAGCTCGGCCCATCGGGTGTGTGACTCAGCATTCAGAGACAGGGACTGGACTCGCAGTGAGGAGTAGGTGGCCTGGGGCAGGCCTGATTGGAGGATGTGGGTGTGGAGGTGGGCTAACTGAGACAGGATGTCCTGTGATTGGTTCACAGCAGATAAGACTTCCTCGGGGCAGGCTTCATTGACCACGCCCACTCCTTCTGGTGTAGCGGGCAGAGGTTGGAGGGTTGGGGACTGTTGTCCTGTACAGTGGCACCATCATCCAGTGACACATGCAGTCTCTCACCCCAAGTAGCATTTGCCTCCACCTCCTGATCTACAAGACCATTTTTTTTCTCTTTCTACAGCTGCCAAAGCGATCCACATTCCACTTGACCACCGATTTCCTTGGACAGTTCCTACCCCAGGTAGGAACGGGCTTTCACTCCTTCCATCTGCCTGGGCTCTGGGGAGGACTGGGATGCATGAAGGGCAAGGGACAACAAGGGATGCTGGGCTGACCAAGGGTGAAAGGGGCCACCAGGCACTCATCCATTTCACACATGTCCACTATGCACCCGGGGCCCTGTGCTGGGGACCTGGCAAAGGAGACCATATGCCTGCCTCAGGTACATGAGACAATGACAAAAACAGTGCTGCCTGTGACAAGTGATGCCAACAGGTGGGTACCTTTGCTTTAGACAAGGGGCATAGGGCAGGCCTCCACCATAGTCCACTCAGCTGTATGGTTGAAACAGCAGGCATTTATTCCTCCTAATTCTGGAGACTGAAAGACCAAGATTGGGGTTCTGGCAAGGGCTGTCTTCTGGCCTTATAGACTGCCACCTTCTTGCAGGGTCTTCAGTGTATGGGGGGTGCAGAGACTGAGAGTTCTGGTGTCTCTTCCTAAAAGGACGCTGGTTCTGTTAGCTCAGGGCCCCATCCCCATGACTTCATTTAGCCTCACTCTCTCAGAGGGCCCACCTCCAAATACAGCCGCATTGCAGCCTAGGGCTTTCATGTGTGAATTTAAGTGGGGAAGGGCATAAACATTCAATTTATCACAATTTCTCTGATGGTGGCAGCTGTAGAAAATTTCTACAGAGGGCAGGCCTCGCTAGGGTGGGAGGAGGAGCAGCATTTGCATTATAGTCGCATTATTTCCCGCAGGCTGGGTTTACCTGGGGAGGATGAAAGGCTGGGAGAGAGGAAGGAGGTCACCAAGGCCCTCCTTACATCCCCTTGAAGCCACTCCTGCTCTGAGGAGGTGACATTTGAGCTCAGACTTCAAGGAAGGGAAAGAGCCATGCTAAGGAGGAATGGAGGGACAAACATTCAGTCAGAAGGAACAGAGACTGCAAAGGGTTTCAGATAACAAGACAGGCTGTCTCCTATGAGGACCAGGCAGAGTTTCCTGTGCTCAGAAATGGAGGACAAGGGCTAGGGGCTAATGGAATGAGGTCAGCAGGGCTCCAGATGCCAGGCCATGAAGTCATTTGGATTTGTTGTCAGAGCCCTGGGAAGACACTGGAAGTGTTTCTGCCAGGGAAGGCCAAGACGGGATTTGAAACCATTTTAATAAAACAACCTCTTTTGTTGGCTGTCCCCGCTGGTGTGTAGGTGTCCCAGGAGTTCCCCAGCATGGACATGCAGCTCGTTCTCTCCACCTCTTCACCGCCATACTTGATCACACAGCCTACCGGCCTTACCTTCAGCCCTAACCTGCAGGCCCATGCCTTCGCTGTCCTCCCCAACTCCTCCCTGGCGTCTCTCTTCATGCTCGGCATGGTAAACTGCTCCTGGGTGTGGGCCAGGGGGAGCACTGTCCTTGGAGTCAGGGGATTCAAGTCTGGGGAGTGGGACTCAGAGCCTAAGACCAAAGCCACCGAACTCCCACAGGCACACAGCCACCCCCTGGGTATCTGTTTATTTATGATTCAATTATTCATTCACTCACTGTTTCATTCACTCACTTATTCATTCCTTCCTTGGCTTGAAATACGTATACGGTTTCCAATTCATTCACTCAGATCTTTGATCAGTCTGTTAGGTATTTGCATATTTTCCCGCTCATTCACTTATTCATCCACTTATTAATTCGTTCAATTATTCATTAAATTGCTGACTTGAAATATGCTATACCTTTTCTGGATCCTATATGCATTCACCTATTCAATTATTCATGAATTCATTTACTTGTATGCTGGTTCTATTGGCCCTTCGTTTGTGTATTTGCTCATTTATTTATTCATTCGTCATTTATTCATCTATGCATATCTTTACTTATTCTTCCACTTGTGGATTTGCTTAATCCTTCACTTGTTCAAGTTCTCATTCGTTGTTGATTTACTTATTCATTCATTTGATCACCCATCACTGCCCGGCAATTGGTAGCACCTACAGTGGCCGCTAGAAATGAGCACAAACTCTCTCCATGGGGAGCATGCAGAGGCCCACTTTCAAGTGGAGACCTGTTACCCCCACTTTACAGATCAAGTGGGTTCTGAATGGGTCACTTAAGGTCACAGACTGTCGGCAGCTGAAGTGAGCACCCTCATTTCTCCGGCAGTAAGCATTTTCTGAATGGGTCAGTCAGTGAGTGCAGCAGGAATGGGGCTGGTCTGGACTGCAGTCCTCAGATCTTTCCTCCATCACCCTCCCCGAGTGGCCAGGATCTCAGACATGCTCCCACAAACCTGGTGACCACCCAGGACTCCTCAGTAGCCACAGAGCAAAGTCTCTGTGCTCCTGGGGTGCTGTGGGCCACCCTACCCGGCTTTGAGAAGCTGGCCAGGCCGGACACGTGGTCAGGCAGGTCACCCAGGCTGTCATTTCACAGGGCATGAACGCACACATGGAAGTTGGTGCCAACGCTGACAGACTCACGGCAGAGCTCATGATGGACAAGTAAGTGGCCCGTGGGGACGGAGGGGGACTGCCCATGCGCTCCTGGAGGCCACAGGGGAGCCGGAGCCTTCCCCTGTACCACGCACCTTGTCCTGGCTTTTGTTCACCTGCCACATTTTGGCCTCAGTTTGCAGACTGTGAAATTGAGGCTCAGAGAGTCGGTGGCTTGTCAAGGTGACATGTGACCTTGTGACCTGCGGTCTGTCTGCTCGGGAGAGTCCCAGCTTTAGCACTAAAGTCCTGCGTCCTGGGACACCTGTCTGTCCCGGATGGACTCACGGCAGGGAGATGTCAGCTGAGGACCCATCCACCCTGAGCACAACAGCGGCCAGGGCCAGTGTCCCTGGCCTTTGTTGGCACTAGGAAATCCCACGCCAGCTTCTGCCCCTGACCCCGGACTTCAGACCCTGTCCCTTGCCAGGATGCCGTGCAACCCAGGTTTGAATCCCAGCACTGGAGGATGTGCTCAGGAGGATGGGCTCTGACAGGAGGCTGCCAGCATTTGAAAAAGCAAGTGACAAATACCAAGCCTCAGTTTCCCCAGCTGTGAAATAAGCCCGCTAAGTATTCTCCACCAACAGCACCATCATGGGGATTAATTAAGTGAGCTATTAATATGTTCTAAATGCTTGGAACACTACACAGGCTGTAACAAGCACTCAAGGAATAAGAAGGAGCCAGATGTGATGGTGCTGTAATCCCAGCACTCAGGAGGCTGAGGCAGGAGAGTTGCTGTGAGTTCAAGGCCAGGCTGGGCTACATAATCAGACTCTGTCTCAAAAAAAACAAAACAAAACAAACAAACAAACAAACAAAAAACAAGAATAAATGAGGAACACATAGAGAAAGAGAAATAGAGACACAGAAAGAGGAAGACACAGAGAGAGGGGCAGAGAGCCATGGAGGGGAGAGAGAGGAGAGTCTTGGAGAGAGACAGAAAGAGCAAGGGAGATTGAGACCGACGGAGGGACGTGTTAGCAGGGAGACAGACACGAGCGAGCGAGGTGGGGAGAGATGGAGAGCGAGGCGGTGACCCCAGCGTTCAGACCCGGCGTCTGCCTCTTCATCACGCGCTGCTGTTTGACCGCATCCTGACCGTCTCCACCTTCTCTCTGGAGCAGAGCTGTCCTTAACCCTGAGATCAGCCCCCGAGGTTTACACGCTGCTCGTTTCTCCCGGCATCGTTGTGACAAGTGTTACTGCTTCGGAAATATGTGGGTTTAATTTGCCTTGACTCACCCTCAGGCCTCAAACGGAGGAGCTGGGAGGAGCCCGCTGCGCGGTGGCTGAGCACAGACTCTGAAGTGGGCAGGTCTGAGGGTGGGACCCAGGGCTGCGTGGGCGTGGATGGGCCCAGGAGCCTGGGCACACCCACTCTTGGTAAACAAGAGCAAGTTTTTTAACTCTAAGGGCGGTTGAAAACAACAGGGCTTTGGAGTCCAGGAGACCTGAGTGAAATCCTGCTTTGCTAATTGTTAGGACCTCTCTGAGTGTCAGTTTCCTCATACGTAAAAGGACAGCACAGTAGTCGTTCCCTTTTGGCCTGTGGTAGGAATCCAGTAGGATGAAACACTCAGCACAGCAGGCTGCACTTCCCCGCTTTCTCTGAGATCACTGCTAAAATTCCATCGAGGCCCTAGGGTGAGGGGGGACGGCGGCTCAGGGGACTGAAAAGTCTGAAGCGTTCAGGCAAGAGGCTCAGGTGCCAGATGACGTCCTTAGGGTCTGACTCCATCTCAGCTCTGCTGTCCTCCGTGCTGGCTTCAACCAAGCAGTGGCCTCCTGTTTTCCTGGACAACCTGAGGGCTACAGCCCCGGTACTTCCAGCACAGGACCCGGCACCGCTCTCACGGGGCAGCACAGGGCACAGCCCACACCTGAAGGGTGACGTTCAAGGGGTGGACTGTGCACCGCTCAGCATGGGCTCAGCAGCACCCGAAGCACAGGCTCCTGGAGGAAAGAACGTGGGGGGACACTGGGAGAGGTGGGCCCTGGGCGCTCGTACTGGCCAGGCTGCTGTGGTCTCAGTCACACTTTTCCTACCACAGGCTGCACCTGCAACTGATACACTCGAACGTCGGCCCCTTCCCGGTGAGTCTGAGGCCCTTGGCAGCTTCGTCCTTGCCCTGACCTTGGGGGACCTGTCACAGGCGCCTGGCATCACTCAGGAGCCACTGGTTAATTTTGCATGCAATTGGTTTGTGAGTTAGTGGTGGGAGGAGCTTTGTGGGCAGAGAGATCAGATCTGGGACCTCCTGCTCCTGGCTCACTGACGGAGAGGCCTTGGTGAGTCACTTGCAATCTCTGAACTCCAGGCTTCCCAGCTGGGTCAGTGTGGTGAGGTTTTGCGGTGGGACTAGATATGCACAGTCTGGTATAAAAGGTCTGCTCCACCAATGCTTGTTGAGTGAACAAGTTAATGACTTTACTGAGCAAGTGTTTTGTGCTGGGATGTTCCAGGTGTGGGTGACACTGAGCTTTAGTAGTGGGAGACAGAACGGTAGGAAATGAAGAGCGATCCCATCAGGATCAAAGCTATGGAAGACAGAAAGGGGGTGGGGTGGGGGACAAAGAGAGACCTAAAGGCAAAGCAGTGAGAAGGTGATGTTTGGGTTGACAGGTGAAGAGGAGCCCTGCAGAGGGCACCGCAGAGGCAAAAGCCCTGTGGCAGGAACAAGCTTGACACGTTTGGGGAACAGAAGGAGCCAAAGTGGTGGAGTGGAGAGGAGGAGGCACAGGAAGGGAGAGGCTGTGGACAGGACGGGGCTGTCTCAGCGGGGCTTTCTGGGCTGTGTTCCAAGGGCAGTGAGCAGCCAGCGACCCGTCTCCTCTGAGAAGCAACGTGCTCTGATTTGCACATTTGTAAAAGACCCCGTAGAGGGGTGGGGATGGATCACAAGCACAAGAGTCAGGCCTGGGGAGCGTGGGGTGGGGCTGGGACTCAGCCGGGACGGAGAAAAGGCGGTGGGTCGGAAATGGACTTTGGGAGTCACTTAGAAAGGACTTGGTGGAGACTGGATTCGCATCATGAGGGGAAGGAACAGCGAGATGACCCTGGAGGACGGGACGTAGCTCGGTGGAGGAGTGGAGGAGCGCTTGCCTAGCAAGATGAAAAAGAGCAATGGCATCGAGCGTTCAGGCTGAGCAGCTGGGTGAACTGCAGTGCCACGCACCAAGATGAGGAAGAGCAGGTGGAGGGACCGGAGCAGGTGTCCCCCAGTCCAGCTCAACAGCTCCCCGCCCTGGGAATCCTGGCTGTCATCAGCGCTGCCCAGGCATTGTGAGCCAGCCACACGCATAATAAACTGATGCAAAGCTCTTAGAGCACCATTAAGAGCCCGCCCAGCAATTTACACCTGCAGCCACCACATGTTGATCTACAGAGCCTTGTTCCACATACCTGGCTCTCCTGTGGGCTCTGGTTGAACCCCACTTTGTGCTGCCCTGGAGGGCATCTCCCTAGATCCCTGAGGTGCTCCCAGCTTCCCCCAAGTGAGTGCCTTGAGCTCACCCAGCGTGGTGGAGTCAGGCTGTCCACCCTCCCCTCCAAGTCAGATAAGAATCCAGCCCACCTCCCTGCATCTGGAAACCGTAGCCTGCAGAAGGCCGGAGGCCACCTCATGGGGTTGTCATGGGTTTCCTCGGGGCCTTGGCTAAGTCAGTAACTGACTTCTGCTTCTGCAGAAAATAAGCACACACACCTCCCAGGATTCAGAGGAAGGAGGGCACGCAGTGGTGAACCCAGGGAATGATAGCCTGGGGAATGAAAGGCAATTGTTCCAGAAACAGAACATACATATTTACAAGTTGTAAATGTCACCACTACGGGCAATCATCCTCACGGTTCCACTTTATTTTTGAAAAAAATTTATTATTGCCAAAGCAAAGCGTATGTACCATACAGCACAAAGGACCTACAGATTTGCCAAACATAGAAAATAAAAACCATTCACATTTCTACCACTTATGAATCATAATTTGGAATATATCCTTCCTGACCTTTTGCTATGCCTGTTTAATTTTAAGAATGGAATCAGGTATTTCAACAGCCTCCTTTTCCTCATTCAAACATATATCAAGCATATCTCTTGTGGATGATTATATTTTTACAGTATCATTCCCTTTTTTGAGACAGGGTTTCACTATGTAGTACAAGCTGGCCTTGAACTCACTTATATAGTCCAGAGTGGCCTTGAATTTAAGGCAGTCCTCCTGCCTCAGCCTCCCACATGCTAGGATTATAGGAGTGTACCACCACACTTGGTTTACAGTATCATTCTTAACAGTTGCATATTATCTCCTAGTATCAAAGTTCCATTATTCCCCCCGATGATTCCCCTACTGTTGGACATGTATGTTGCTCTTGGTTTATTGTTCAGATTAAAGTGATAACATGGACAAGTATCCTCCAAACATCTCAGTTTGCCTCCCCCCCACATAATTTCCATGACAAAAATTCAGAGCCAGGCTCTCGGGCCCAAATGACACATATTTTAAGGCTTTTGATGAATATGCTCAAACTGCCATAAAACAGGCTGATTCCACCTGCTGCGCAGAAAGTGCGTGGTTTAAACAAAGGTTTCCAGACTTAAACCCTTCCGATGACCTTCAGAATCACTGTGAAGGGCAACTCTCCATGTGGGCCGTGCCTGCGTGGGGAACCTTGAGCACAGTAGAGATTGACTGAGGGCCTTGGCCAGGCTGCTAAGTGTCCATCATCCCCCAGTCCACCTCAGCTGTTCTCCAGCCTGGAGGTTGCTGAGGGTGTGAGTGGAAGGGAGGGTGCTGCGGGAGCTGGTCCCACAGTGCCCTGATGGCTCTGTCCTCTTCCTGTCCTCCAGGTGGAGCTGCTGCAGGATGCCATGAACTACCTCTTGCCCACTGTGGTGCTGCCCAAGGTCAACAGTAAGGAGCTCTGGGAAAGGCATGATTTTCAGCAGTGAGGCCAGGGGATGGGGTGACCGCCTCCAGGCACTGAGTACCTGCCTCCGTTGAACCCCAGGTGACATCTGGCCTAGAAAGGGGATGGGACAGAAAGGGAACTCACCTGCAAGCTTCCACCCACTAGTTCAGGCAGTCCTTACAGCAACCCCACAAGATGGGGATTATGAATATCTCTAATTTTCATGGGAGGAAATGAAAGATCTGAATGGTTAAGTGACACTGCAGGTGGCAGGTGAAGCTGGGATCTGATCCTGGCTCTGGAGTCTTTCCAATCTGGGAGAAGGAGGAGGTGGGTACCCTCATCTGAGCGCTCAGTCACCACGCTGGTGGAGCCTCAAGCAGGCCCACCCCTAACCTGTGAGCTCTAGGGACAAGGGGACCAAGAGAGGTGTGGACATACAGATGCGTGACTTGGACATTTAGAGATTATTACCTAAGCCAGCAAATTACCATGTAGACTGTGAACTAGCCTCCTGCCTTGGGACGTGTGGTTCCATAATGACTGGGGAGACAGGACCGAGAACTCTCCAGAGTCCCACATCACAGCATAGGGACGTGGGGGACCTGGCCCCTGGCCACTGCCATCTCTGGCTTCACCCTCAGCAGGGAGAGGCTTTGTGCGCACATGCAGACCCTCTGTCTACACCACGGCCAATGGAGCCACGCCTGCTGGAGGGCAGTCACGGGGAAGGGGCCTGCATGGATCCTGGAAGTGGGCTTGGGGACAATGGGAGACATAAAGTGGGGGTGCAGACTCCAAGGCCACCTTCCTCTTGTGCATGCGTATCCCAGCCAGCCCTATCTGGGGTGCCCTCCTGGGAGGTGCCCTCCCAGGCTCTCTGGCACCCCTGCCCTCCTCTCGTCTCACTATCTGTCTCTGCCGCAGAGAGGCTGCAGAAGGGTTTTCCTCTCCCAATGCCCAACCGGGTCCAGCTCAGCAACCTGGTGCTTCGCTCTTACCAGGTGAGTCCCCAAGTTCCCTGTCACTGGAGGTCCCAGTGCTTATGCACCTGGCAGCACTTCCTGTGTCCAGCTCTGCATCCGGCACATTCTACTCTCACAACAACCCCAGACTACAATGCTATCAGTAAACAAAGGAACAGCGAGGGCTCAGAGAAGCTGAGTCCACACTCCAGGCTGGGCTCCCCTGTGCTGAACCAACGCGCCCCCTCCCATGCACCACTCAGCAAACAGGAACCTGCTGAGGAACCAGAGTGCCCTTTTACTGGCCTAATGCATACACGCTGCACACCTGCCTGCAACCACCACCGCCCTGGGCACCCAGGGTGAACAGGGTCGGTGTCGTGTAGATTCACACATGGAGCAGGAGCAGCTCTGGCTCTGCCCAGCTTGCTCGCCAGCATCTGACACTAACGTCCTTCAGGAAGCCTCCTTCTTCCGGGAGTTCCATGGCTCCGTTGCCCCATTCCCTACTTCTCTCCTTTGGCTCTCCTGTCCCCTCCTTAGTTACTGGAGATGTCAGACCTCCTCCCCAGGCCTCGTCTCTTCCCCCTTCTCCAAGCTTCTCCCGTCACTCCAGGCCCCTCCTTGGTGTCACCTTGGTGCCACTTCCAGCTTCCTGAGTCTAAGCCTCTGTGGTCACCACCCCTTCAACCCAGCACATCCCACAAAGCCTTCGCCCCCACAAAGCAGCCAACACCCGGTGCCACGCCCCTTACCTCCGTCCTCAGCTTTCCTGACAACTTGCGTCTCTCATGCAAACCCCCATCACCCCAGTTTCTCGCTCTCCTTGACCCCCAGCACAGTCAGTCAGCCCCCAGTTCTTTAGACCACTTTGCTGAGGGGACTTGGAGACTGGAGGAAAACAGCCAAGAGCACAGAGCAAGCGGCCGCCATACTCCCCGCTTTCACCAGGCTCAGCTTGGGCCCCGCGGCACAATTCCATTTCCCCACTTCTGAAGCTTCTGAGTGGAGGACACAGAGGGGCAAAGGGAAGTGTTTTGCAGCCTTGATTGGAACAGGGGTTCCCTTGAGCTGTTGTGAGACAGGATGACAGATTAAGCCTCCGCCACAGCCAGTGGGGGCAGAGGGGCAGGTGGGTTGCACATCACATCAGAAGCAGAAACAGCTGTCCAAGAAAAAAGGAAAAAGAGGGCTGAGGATTTAGCTCAGCGGCAAAAGTGCCTCCCTGGCAAGCGCAAAGGCGTGAGTTCGGTTCCCGGTACCGGAAAAAAAAAAAAAAAAAAAAAAAAACGGAAAAAGAGAAGAAGCTGCTGACAGATGCCTGGGCATCGCTGGCCACTAATGTGTGGACCCACCAGCCAGAGCCCATGCAAGTGTCCCCACAGGCTCCTGCCTTTCTCTCGGCCCCTAAGGCCCCACCCTGCTCTCTCCTCCTGACAGGCAGCCTCCCAAAGTTTCCTTCTTAAAAACCTGGCCATGCTGGGAGTCTGACTTTGACTCCAGCCTAGGCAACTTATTGACTTAACAAGATCCTGTCTCAAAATAAAAAGGGCTGGAGAGGTAGCTCGGGGTGAAAGCCCTGGGTTCAATCCCCAGTTCTGAAAAAAAAAGCCAAATCCCTCCCCCAACAAGGGTGTACCTCCAGCTGATGACAACATTCCATCTTTTGCTAGGATTTCCTGTTGCTTGGAGCAGACGTGCACCTTCCCTGAGGTCACCGGGGCTGTACCTGGGGTGGGGACTGTGGCACTTGTTCCTGAGGGGCCGTGGCACAGGCTCCCTTTCTCCAGGGAATCCCCCACAGACCTTGCAACTTCTCTGAACTCGGACCAGGAAATGATCTGAACACGGGGAGTTTGTTCACCAGAAACGTTCATGGCACACATTTCAGGGGTTCTAGGCTGCTTTCAAAGCTAGATTCCACGATGTGTCCTGCAGGAACTGCATTTCAGTGGTGGTCATGGTTTATCTCTTTGGGCTTCGTATAAAAAAAAAAAAAAAAAAAAAAAAAAGAATTTCTTTTTCCTGTGGATTCCCTGTCTGTGTGTATTTTCTTATTTTATAACTTTCCTTCCTTCCTTGGCTGGATCCAGCCTGGCCTCAGTCCCAGTGCAAAGTACAACTACAGTCACCTCTTTTTATTTCCGTGATTAAGCACTTGCATCCCCCATGGAGAAGTGCAAGTTCCTTGGGGCTCTCTGGGTCCAAAGCACCTGAGTCCTGTCCTGAGGTAGGGCAGAAAAGGTGGGAAGTGAGCAGCCCACTGGACTGTTTTCTGCTCACTGCCACAGGGTGTCGCTGTTGAAGATGATCTTTGCACAACCTCTTGTCTCCCTGGGGAGGGAGTCAACACTGGGACTGTTGCTCCTAGCGATGCCACACAGTGTCGCAGTGGAGCAGGTCTCCTGCACAGCATTTGCCCCAGAGGGCTCCAGGCTGAAAGTTTCCTCCTGCCCAGCCCTTGGGTCTGTGACAGTCTCCAGCTCAGACTGTCAGGCTTGTGGCTGACTCCCATGGGGTCTTTGGGCCATTTATCGCCCTGGGGAAGATGGGGTTGTCACACTGAGGTACTTCAGAGGCTCCCTGAGTGTGGGCGCCTGGTCTGAGCCCAGGATGAGCGAGAATGCACCCAGAGGGCTGGAGCAGGCACAGGGTGGGGTGACACAACCACATTTAGTTTTTAAAAGGGTGCTGCTGTGGGCTCTAGACTCTTGGAAGAGCAAGAGTTGAAAGTGTGGGCACAAACTAGGAGCCCGGCTGCTGATGGGGGAGGCAAAGCATCTAAAAGGCATTTTTATAGAAAAATGCACACACTTTGGTGAACGTCATCGATTCTCCTAAGTGGAGGTTTCGGCTCCGGGGCCACAGGGGAAGGAGGGGGCTCAATCAGAATGGGAGGCCAGCGCAGCACCAATGGTCTGTGTCAGTCCTCGCAGTGCTGTCCCCTCCCAAGGTGGGAATTGGTCAGTCCTTCCAGACCGAGTCCTCCCCACTCACACAGCTGGCCTGAGCCCTTCTGCCATCGGAGCCTATGTTCTTTCCACTCCCAAAAGTCAAAGTCATGTCGGTTTGGGACCTCGGCATGCTTAAGGGAGAACCTCTGTGTTTGGCTGCATAGGTCATGCCCTGTAAAAAGCCAAGGCTCAGGAAACACAGATCTTTGTTACCCACCAAGAAGGTGCCGCTGTTTCTATGTTCCAGAGGCTACTGCAGCCAGGGCCAGAAGAGCCGCAGCCAAGGGGGCCAATAGGGAGAAAAGGAAAGCAGAGCTTGGAAGGAGGCTGGGAGGCGGCAGTGAGGACTATGGGTTTCGTTCTGAACTACAAAGGGAGCCATTGGAGAGCTTTGAGCAGAGGGTGACACAATCCCAGTGAAGTGTTGGAAGGCTCTCTGGCTGCTGCGGGGAGAATAACCCCTAAGGTAGAGACACAGGCTGGCCTCGTCTGCCCTGGCTTCCTCCTCCATCCCCTCTGGTACAGGCTGGCACCCTCGTGCACCTGCCCTCTGCTTTCCTAATTGTTTGTGCCGGCTCTCTAGAAAGCTAACGAATGCAGAATGCACCATGTTCTGGGTCTGACACTGCCCAGAGCTCTCTCTAACGGTTGGGCAGACAGCAGTAAGGTCCCCAACACTGTCCAGGTGACCTGCGGTGCTGCCCACAAACCCACTATTGAGCATTTCTCCTTCCGGTAAAACAAGCACCTGCTCTGGAGGACCACTAACATGCTCACGGTTTCCCTCCAAGTGTTGAAAATATTCTAAAGTTAGACTGGGAAATTGATTGATCAACTCTACTTGTACAAAAGCCCCTGGACCGCATGCTTGAAGTGGGTCAAAGTCATGGCGTGTAAAATATTTATCCGTGACATTATGTAAAGCTGGGCATGGTAGTGCACACCAGTAATCTCTGACTGGGGAGGCTGAGGCAGGAGGATCTTGAATTTGAGGCTGGCTGGGCAACTTTGTGAGTTCAAGGCCAGTCTGAACTACTCAAAAAAACAAAAACAATTCGTGAAAACATTAAAATAGGAAAAAAGAACTCCAGATTGCTGAAAAGCTCACTGTTCAGCAGCTTCCCTGCTGGGTTAAGCATTGCCCTCTTCAGGATCCTTTTGGAAATGCTGATTTATTAAGTATTAGTTGTAAGGCATGGGCTGTGTCACAGGAAAACCAACCACTAGGTTCCCAATTTGCCACCTCTCATGAGCGACCTGGTAAACCGTGAGCCGTGGTCTCAGACACCTTAGGTTCAAACCCCAGGACTACTGTTTGCAGTTTCATGACCTTGGGCAGCTCACTGGATTTTCTGGTCCTCGGTTCCCTCTGCTGCAAAGTGGGTGTCATAGTAGCACCTGCTCCTCCCAAGAGATGGCAGAAGCATGAGAGAACCCTCAGGCATATTTCTACATAACCACAGTTACCAAAAAGCAGAGGTGGCAAACGCCATGCTGGAGGGACCTGAAACTAAAAGGACCTTTCTCTAACCCAGGGAGACACGGGGTGAGCAGAAACGGCTCCCTGCAGGGGAGGGCAGAACGAAGCTCACAATCATAGGGAGTGTTGGGACAAAACTCCCCAAATCAAGCACAATCCCTACTCAAAACTTTGTTTCCCAAAAAGAAATGTTATTGTTTACTTACTGCACATATAATGCATGCCCAGAAACAGCCCAAGAAAATAAAAATTTTAAATATTGACGAGCAAAAAAGGTTTTGCTTTTTTGTTGTTTCTATTGCTGCTGCTGTTGTTGTTATTGCTTTTGCTGCTGTTGTTTGAGACAGGGTTCTTGCGATGTAGTCCAGGCTGGCTTTGAACTCACTGAGTTGTCCAGGTTGCCCTTCAACTCGCAATCCCCCTGCCTCAGCCTCCCAAATCCTAGGATTTACGGCATGTGCTACCACACCCAACTGTAAAGAGATTTTTTTAAACACTCACAAGCCAGCCCACCCAAAGACAAGCCTTCATAGCGCCTTGGGATAGGAGGCAAGGCTGGCTGGGCAATATGTGGGACCTGTTAATTAGAAGATCCCAGCACAGCACCAAATAATTCCCAGGACCTCATACGTAGAACTTCTTGTGGGCTCACACATGATGTGGATGGCCTAAAAGAGATGAGATGCCATGAGGAGCCTCCTACAGTAACTCTTCACAGTAGCCCTGTCTCCCAGGCCAGGGTGTATTTTATTTTTGCTCTTTTGCTCTTTCTTTGTTTTGTTTGGCTTAAGTTTGCTCTGTAGAGCCAGTTTTTCTCTTATTCTTTCACCCCTCACTTTTCAAATAAGCTTTAGACACCTTTTTGGGCTTGATTATTCAATTCTTTGTTCAAGGGAAGAAGGACCTGAAATACGTTTCACTGGTAAGCCATTTCTAAAGGAACTACCTGATTACAGCCTTGTTAAGTAGTTTTCTAACTGACTTTCTTTGGGGTTTGTTTTTTTTTTTTTTCCCAGTACCCAGAATTGAACTCATGACGTTGCACATGCCAAGCAGGCCCTGTGCCGCTGAGCTAAACCCCTGCCCCCTCTGACTGACTTTTAATCAAAGACCTAGAACCTTACCGTCTGAGCCATTGGAGCCATCGGAAGCCCACGAGCTTCCTTCTTTATCAAGAGACGCAGTAACCCTGCAGCCTCCCTTCAGTGGCCGCGTCACCCTCATGTCACCAGTCCCCCTTTCTGGGCACTCCAGGCTGGGACGGTCCCCCTGCCTGTGTCGCACAGCACAGGGGCCCCTCAGTGTGGTAACGTGTTTGCACACTGATTTAACCATGTACAGAAGGGCAAGGTGCAGAAGAATTGCCGGGTCACAGGAAATGCAACTGTTCAAAGAGATTTTTTTTCCTTGCTGTTGGCTTTTGGGTTGGCTGGTTGGCTTGTTTGTTTGTTTTGTTTTCTTGTTCAGGGAATTACAGTTTAAAGATTTGCCAAGTTGCCTTGCAGAAAGTTTCCCACTGGAGGAGCACAGGTTTCCTCTAAGTAAACAGAGACTGAGAGCCAAGTACGAAGAAGGAAGAGTCCGAGGGCAGCAGACCCGCCCTTGCCCCCAGCCTGCTTCTTGCTGGGTTTGTGACCCTGAGTGAGCACTGTGGCCTCTGGAAGCCTCAGTTTCCCGGCCTGTGACACTTTCCCAGCCCAGCTTTTAAAACCTGGATGACGGGAGGCAGAACCTCTACGAATGTACATTTCCGTGGCAGGGCAAGAAGAGATTGTCCCTGGTGACCAGCGCACCCCCAACCCCTGTCTAACCTGAGCAGCAGTGACAGGCTTCCAAGTGTGACCTGCGCCCGACCGCAACAATGTCGCAAGCAGGTTCCGGTCTGCGTTCCTCCCCTTCCCGCTCCCAGGTGCCCGCCCTCCCCCTGGAGCCACCCCCAGCCCTCAGCCTTGACTACTTAAGGGAGCCAGCCCAGCCCTTGGGACAGTCCCACTACCCACTGCGAGTCCAGGATGGGGGCTTTGCAAGGGCCCCTGCTGTCCCTCCTGCTGGGGCTGCTGCTCACATCTGCCCCAGAGGGTCTGGGAGCCAACCCAGGCCTGGTTGCCAGGATCACTGACAAGGGCCTGGCATACGGTAAGAAGCCACACTGTTGCTCTCAGCCCCTCGGGGCACAGTGGGGTCAGGGATGGCCACCCCCCCCCATGGGGCAGCCTTCTGGGTCAAGCAGCTCTGGCTGGGATTCTGGACTGGTCACACCCCGCTGTGTGACTCGGGCACATTACGCTTGTGTTAGCTGGGTTCCCACCAGCAGACCGGGACAAAGATGGGGGTGATCTCAGTAGTTGATGTGGGAGGTGATTCCAAAAAAGGTTTCGAGGGAGAGGGTGTGTGAGCTGGAGCAGAGGGCTGGTCACCATCAGGCTGCCACCCAGGGGACCAGAGCGGTTCCGCTGGGAGGATTCTGGGTAGACTTTGAAAGCACATCCCCTAGAGCGCAAAGTCAGACTGGCAATTACCTCGTGGGGCAGCTGGAGCCCTCCACAGGGGGCTGGACTGGGGTCACGTCGGGGTGTGGCAATTCTTAAATTACTCAGCAAACCTTTGCAATTAGATTTATTGTATGTTATTCCCTAATTTAAAAGAATGGGTAAAAGCAGAACTATCAGTTTAAAAGCTGCTGAAACTAAGCCTCAACATTGTCCAGCCTGCAGGGTGAGGGAGCTAGGGTATCCACACTCCCCAAACAAGCCGAATCGGTGGAGCCTCCACTGTGTTAGCTGTTAGGTGGGGGGAGTAACATTCCCTCAGCCGGGTTATTAGGAACCTAGATGGTCAGAGACAGAAGGGGAGTCAGGAGAAGCGTCTAGGAGAAGGTAAGGTAGATAAGAGGGTAGCAATTGGCCAGGGACTGGGGAGCATCCCAGGAAGGGATCCCGCCCTGTGCATTTGCTCGACTGAAGATAAGAAGTGGGGAGAGGTGGAAGGGGAGACCTCGGTCATCTGTGTCCTCAGCCCTGCTGGGGCCAGAACCCTGGGTGCCTCGTATCTCAGAACAAACAGTGGGGCCCACTAACTGCTGTTCGTATTGAAATCCTCAGTCCGGAGGGTCTGTCTTCTGTTGCTCACCACTGTGCCGGTGTATGTACCATGTTGATGTAACCAGTCTTCTAAGGCTGGCCATTGTGGTCTTTTTGTTTCTTTAATAATACAAGCCCCGCTGTACTATTGTGGGCACTGGTTGAGCGCCAAGCTCGAGCTACAAGCAGTTGCTGTTCTCCCGGGTGCCATTTTGCTTGGCAGTTCTGATGGATGCCCTTTGACCCTCCGAATGCCCCAAAGAGGAAAGTGCTTGTTGACAGGTAGAGAAAGTGAAATCTGGAGACTGGCTTAAATCACTCAGCTAGAAAGACATCAAAGCCAAGACTCTGGCCGTAAAACCCTTCCATTTCTTCCAGGCAGGTCAGATGCCAAGGGGACAAAGAAGGCCACACATGCAAGTACACTGCACTCCTTCCCCGTAGAGGTGTTGGCAAAGGTGGCCTGAGTCCTCCTTCATGTGCAAACTGGGCACAAACATAAAAACATATGGAATGCAGGTGTGGCCCTGATGGTTTCTCATGCCACCCGGCACCCAGAAGGGCTCAATAAGTGCAACTATAATTAACTCTAATAAGGAAGTTGTCCTCTTTCCCCGGAGCAGGTGGGAGCCATGGAAGATGTTAGAGCAGGGGAGGAAGCCAGGCAGACCAAACTGACTTCCAGCTTTTCCCTGTCCACAGCGGCCCAGGAGGGACTGTCAGCTCTACAGAAAGAGCTGCAGGAGATCACGCTGCCTGATTTGGATGGGGACTTCAAGATAAGCCGCATCGGCCGTGGGAACTATGAGTTCCACAGGTGGCATCTGCCTTTTCTGGGGACCTGGGGTGGCTGAGGAGGGGCCGGAGCAGGAAGGTGATAAAGCCCCAGGACGGGCTCAGGGGGCTCTTTGGGGCAGACTGTGGGAAGGCTCTCCACTGAGTTCAAATGGAAATTTGAGTGGGAACCAAGCTCCTCCACCCAGAGTGTAGACATGGCTGGTAGCTATGTCCTGAGGCTCAGTCTCCTTATCTGTAATGTGGGGCTGATACCAGCTCCTCCTTCAGGGATAATACAGGATTCAGGGTTCAGTCTGCCCACCGTGCAGAACCAGAAGGGGAACAAGACCTCACACTTGAAATATAGTAGCCCAAGTGTCAGTGCTAAAGTCTGCAGATGGGGGAGCCAGAGAAGGTTTCCCAGAGGAGGAGGCATCTGAGCCGAGTCTTCAAGAGATCACCAGACAGAAGCAGCTTGTGCTTTCTAAAAAGCCCATGAGCTGCTTGTTGCAGGGCGGATAGTGGAGGGAGGGCAGCAGACCCACAGCCTGTTACACCCTTCCTGCCCACTGCTTGCTTCACTCATAGCTTTCTCTTTTTCTCAGTTTGTCAACAAACACCTGAGTGAGCGCCTGTTATGTGCCAGGCAAATGCAAAGGAGTTGGACCTTTCCTTCCCATGGTGGCACCCCCTTGCCCACCCTTCCTGTCTCTCTGAGGCTGCCTCAGTGTCCCCTGAATCTAACACCCCTCCTGGGGTCCTGGGGCTTCAGGAAGGTGCTGCAAATCCAAGGTGGGCACCTGCCCTCCGCCCCTGCACCACGCCAGCCAGGACCCCAGGCTTCATGGGGTCTCATCTAGCCTGTGTGGCTGTGAGCAGTTGTGTCCCTTCCTTGGGCTCTGTTTCCCCTCTGTGAAAAGGAAACAAGAACAGCACTGACCCTGGGCCTGGTCTAAGTGACACGAGTGATGTGATGCGCTTAGCACAGCCCTGTGACCCATGCCTGGTAACGGGGGTGTTGGCTTTTGCCCAACTCTGGTCCAGACCCCCTAGCAGGGGAGGGGTACAAGCCAGGAATGAGATCCCTGCTGAGGTCCAGGCCCTGGCTGGACACCGCCCTCCGCCTGTCTCTCCTTGCAGCCTGGACATCCGCAGCTGTGAGCTGCGCAGCTCTGCACTGAAGCCGCTGCCCAGCCATGGCCTGAGTCTCTCCGTCACCGACTCGTCCATCCACGTGCAGGGCAGGTGGAAGGTGAAGGTGCACAGGTTCCTGTAAGTTGGCTCTGCTCCCAGGCCCTCCTCAGCCCCTCACCTTGGCCCCCACCCACCCTTCTTGGGTCCCTCCTAGCTCCTCACAAAGGCCATCTGATGGACAGAGGAAGCCCCCTCCCAGATGTGGACCAGGGTCTGAGGTCTGAGTCTCTATTTCCTTTTTTTTTTTTGTCTTTTTGAGACAGGATCTCACTATACAGTTCAGGCTGGCCTTGAGCTCACTTTGTAGCCCAGGCTGGTCTCGAACTCACAACGATCCTCCTGCCTCAGCCTCCTGAATGCTGGAATTACAGGCATGCGCCACCACGGCTGGCCTGAGTCTCTACTTCCTCATCTCCTGTGACGACACACTTGCTTCCCCGGGGGCAGTGTGGCTTCCTGCAGAGGCAAACCCCAAGCAGGAACTTTACCTGGGAGTGGCCCAAGGGGAGGGAGAAGGGAGGCAGAAAGGAAAGGAGGCGGCGTGGTGAGCAGCTGGTGCTGTGAGCTCCCCGTGGACGCTGGGAGCTGGCATGGGCCATCTACTGAGCCCCCTGCCTCAGCCCTGTGGCCCCTTCTTCCTTGGCCACCAGTCACTTGCAGCTCAGGGCCCTGCCTCTCAGCACTCGGACAGTTCTAGGACCTCCAGAACTTGGAGGGAGTATTAGCTTGCTGCAGCCAATACTGTTCCTGCGGCTGGAATGGAAAAGTATGATTCTCCCAGTTCTGGAGCAGGAAGTCTGTGATCCAGGTGTCCGCAGGCTTGGTTTCTTCCAAGGCCTATCCTTGGCTTGCAGCGGCAACTTCTCGCTGTGTCCCCACATGGTCTCCTGTGCCCTTGAAAGCCCGTATCTCATCCTGCGTCCTAAGCATCTCCTGTGAGGACACCAGTCAGATCGGATTGGGGCCCAAGCCAATGAGCTCTTTTAACTTCACCACCTCTTTAAAGGGGCTGCCTCCAAATACAGTCATGAGCTAGGTCCTGGGGTTAAGGGTTTCAGCATACAGATTTGGGGAGGACAGAATTCAGCCCACAGCAGAAGGGCCTGCCCATCTCAGCCGGGACACCACACCATGCTTTAGGTTGTGGATCACAGAGCTGGCATAGTATCCTCCATAGTAGCTCCAGCCACAGGTATTGAAAAGCACCCAGTAACAACTGAGGTCCGCTGGAAGTGGAAAACACCAGATTTGAGGATGTATTATAAAACAGAACACAAAATCTCACTGATTACATGCTGAAATGATCTTATTAAAATTAGTTTTACCTCTTTTGTGTTTGTCTTTTTAAAGTGGCTAGTGGAAAAGTTTTAAGTGACCCATGTGGCACACATTCTATGGTACTGGGAATCAAACTCAGGACCTTCCGCTTGCCAGACAGGCGCTTGTGCCACTGAGCTATATCCCCAGCCCGGCTCACAGTCTAAAAGTGCTGCTTGGAAAATACTCAGTAGGCTGTAACCTCTCTGCAATTCGTTCTGTTTCCATGAAAGAATTGCTCCACACTCTTCCACAGTGGCTTTTGTCACTGAATTATTTCAGTGATCTCTTCATATGAGCATGTGAAGATCTGCCTTCTTCTTTTTTATTTTACTTTCTTGGATGCATTTTTATTGAGATGCAATTCACCTGACACAATATTGGCCATTTAAAAAAGTACAATTCAGTCCACTCACAATGGTGTGCAACCACCACCTGTATCCAGTGCAAAAACATTTCATCACCCCAGGAAAGAACTCCACACCCACTCAGCAGTTCTTCCCATTTCCCTGCCCTCAGCCCCGCATGACTTCTCTTTTTTTTTTTTTTTTTTGGTTTTTCTCCGGTACCGGGAACCGAACTCATGACCTTGCGCTTGCCAGGCAGGCGCTTTTGCCGCTGAGCTAAATCCCCAGCCCCAGCCCTGCATGACTTCTAACCTGCATTCTCTTCCTGATCTACCTCTTCTGTGTCATGTGAATGATACAATATGTGACATGCTGTCTTCTTTCACTTAGTGTACTTTTGAGGTCCGTCCACACAGCGCGCTGTAAACAAAGGAAGACTTTGTTTCTATTGATGGATGAATTTGATCTCATTGTATGAATACACCACACTCTGCCCCTTTGTTTTTTAAAGCCTGCAGAGCAGAGATATCCACAACCTGTCACTTCTATTAGACCTTTAGGATGACTTTTCATTTTTTTCATATTAACCATGATACTTTAGTGAGCTAACCCCACACATATATCTGGGAAAAAAGAGCCCAGGATAAAAGCTCAAGAGTTAAATTGCCAGGCCAAAGAGATGTGTGTTGGAATTGGAACAAATACCACTGGTCTGTGTTTCAGAAAAGCAGTACCAGTGTGGTCTCCCCACGTGGTACCTGGAATGTCTGTTTCCCCATATCTTCACCAGCACTGAGCACTAAAGCTTCAGAAGTTTTGTTGATCTTGCAGGTGAAAACTGCCAGGATTGTAGGCTCTTTTTAATAGCTTTGTGTATGCTTATTTGCCATTGAACTTGCTGCCCATAACTTTGGGGATTTAAAGTTTCTTTTGGATTTAATCTTTTCCTGATTAATTTGTTCTTTGTATAGAAAGAAAATTAGCTCTCTGGCTGTCTTGTGGTGGATTTTTTTGTACTTTGCAGATTGCAATTTTTGTTCACTAAAGTTTCAATTTTCTGCAAGTTTATCAGCCATTTCCTTAATGATTTATGGGCTTGGATCTTGCCAGAAATGTTTCTGCCCATCCCTGAATTTCAATACTCACCCCAGGCTTCCCAGATCTCTTGTTTGTTATTAAATCTTTTTTACTTGCTAATAAGTCTCAAATTTTTGCTTAGTGAGTACCACTTATTGTGAGGTAAGAATTGAACTTTCTAATCTTCTCCAATCTTCTCAGGAAACTACAAGGCTCCTTTGACCTGCAGGTCAAGGGCATCACCATTATTGTCAACCTCCTGCTGGGCAGCGAGCCCTCGGGAAGACCCATGGTCACTGCCTCCAGCTGCAACAGCCACATCGAGAAAGTGGAGGCGGACCTATCAGGGGGCTTGGGGTAAGTCACCATGAGGGCACTGGTGCACCCTGGGCCCATCCAGGCCTCAGCCTGGCTCTGATGCATGTAAGGGTCCAGCTGATGCACGGGGACTCCACAGGCACTTGGAAATCATTCCTTGGGGGCCCTGTTGGAAGGAACACATGCAGATTCAAGCCAGGAGTATGGATATGACATCCCACAGAAAATAAATAAGTGCATTCTGTGAATCTACCTTTGTCAGGAGAATAAAAGTTGGCTGTTAGAGAAACATAAAGGCTTTGGCAGAAGGAGAGTTTGTAAAACCAACCCAGTCCATGGTCAAATTATTCCATCTCTTTGAGTCTCAGTTCCTATATCTAGAAAAAATGTGGATTACTGAGCCCCTTCCTTCAACTCCACTGAATTTAATCAGTATGGGCCAGGTGGCTGGGAAGCCAGAAGCACTGAGCCAGAGTGGGAGGGTGTGCAGGACTTGGGGGCTGGGATGCGCCTGCTGACCCCCACGTCCAGTGGCGGATGGCTGACTGTGCTCCCTAACCAGGTGGGTGCTGAAGCTCTTCCACGACCAGATTGAATCCAGGTTCCGCAGAACTTTGGAGAGCAAGGTAAGAAGGCACACACAGACTGACGCCTGCGGGGCAAGACAAGGCAGGACCTCAGAGCCATCTGAACAAGAGGGGATGGGGGATGGCTTGGATGTAGTAAGGTGCTGAATCCCAGGAAGGCAAATCGAACTCCAGGAACATCCAATTGGAGAGAATAGCTGGATGAATTGGGAAACGGTAAAACAGTGTTACAGGGAAGACAGAGAATCCAACTGCCATCTGGCAAGAGCTTGCCAACCCTAACCTAAGCCTAACATTACCCCAAACCCTAACACTAACCCTAACCCTAACCCTAACCCTAACCCTAACCCTAACCCTAACCCTAACCCTAACCCTAACCCTAATTCCCTAACCCTAACCCTAACCCTAACCCTAACCCTAATTCCCTAACCCTAACCCTAACCTAGCACCCACATGGCTCTGCATTCCCAAAAGGGAGCTATCCTAAAAGGAAGTCATCTCTCAGTTACTGCAGAAGCCAGGCGGGTCACTTCCACAAGTGTCAGATCCAGGTGGGAGCTGAGCAAGCTGGTGAGTTTCTGCCCTCCCTGGGGAGGGAGAAACTGTATACAGCTGTGTGCAGCTTTAATTAAAACAAAATGCCTCATGCTAATTTCTAGTTTCTCCCAACATTCTTTCACCTCCAGGCCCCATTTCCCCATTTCTGAAGTATTACACACTCAGAGCTGTGCTATAATCAATCTAGGGAAACAGTGATGGAAGAAGAACGGAGGAGACACATATTCCCTCATTTTCATTCCCTCTCTCTCTCTCTCTCTCTCTCTCTCTCTCTCTCTCTCTCTCTCTCTCTC